CGTCGGTCATTTTCATTCTGCTTATCTTTCGCCCAAGCGTTGTTGCGATAGAAAATTGAAATTTGACAAATGTGTTCCTACACTAGTCGACACGTTCGCAGGTAGGTAAGCACAAAAGCTAAGAAATTTGAATAATCAGAAAGACATACAGAAATCTCTAGCGATTTAAAGTTGGGACAGAAAAATTGCTTCGTTCGGTCTGGTAACTGACAGTTAAGTGCAGTTATTGCAACAATGTTTCAGACGATGGGTATTTGAGATTCGCTTTGATGCGAGTTTAGTTTTGCTTCTTTTAGTTTTACTCTTTTTGAAACACAAGTACTTGAGCAAAGTTATAGAGTGGCATGGTGTGAGGGACACTTTATGTGAGCATGCATGACTGAACTGCAATAGTCTAGTTATTTACTTGTATAATCAACAAGCCAGCAAACGGCAGCCAAAGTTAGTAGCAACAATTACGACGCCAACGACTAGGTTTCATGTGTTAAAAACATTTCAAGACATTAAATTGAAATTGTTATTACTGCACTTAGAGAGCGGCACGATAATAACTTTAAGTCAACAATTTTAATTTTCGCTTTTCTTGCTTTAATTCAAGTTGTAAACCATGAACTTATCTATAATGTTTTAAGGTAAGTGGATAATAACCGCTTGTACTATTTCATAATAAAGATAACAATATCATCAACCAAATTTTACAAGGGTTTCTTTTACGTCACAATATTATCCATACAGCATAACAGCAGCTTACACGGAAGAAATTATTTTTCTCATAAAAAAATATTATCTTTTCAACTGAGATCAAATGTACATACGACCATCCAACCTATCTTCTAGCGCCTAATTTCGTTCACATCTTAACATTGTTGTACTCAGAACACTTTCACATTCGTTCTTCCCTTTTTGCATACGTGAGAAAGACTTGGTACAAAATCAATGACATGAATTTTTCTCACTGTCTTGCAGAAAAAAAATAAATATATAGAATAGAATAGAAAAAGTTGAAGAATCAGGGGTCCATGACTTTGTTTCCTCAGTCTTCCAAGCAAAGAAGTCTCGAGCCGGCGGCGGAAGTTAGTAGCCCCATTGACAGATATTGCCCGTAATTGTTTGTTATTTGAAAAACAAATAATTATCGGAATTTTTCTATTGGAACTCCTCCTCCTGCTCGGCTCTCCCGAATTTAATTTTGGCTTTGCTTCACAAACGTTGCCTTTGTGTAATACTCTCTAAGAGCTCTAAGACGAATACAAAAACGTATGTATTCAGGCATGTCCATGTTTGATCAAAAATTCAAAGGATCTATGGCGTTTTTGTTGCGTTTAACCTATGAACTAATCCTCTTATATAAACTTGGGGCAAAATGCAAAAAAAAAAAAAAAAAAAAAAACTAATTAGAATTCATTTGCAAGCGGACGTATAGAACGTAATTGTTTCATTAATGCGAACGCAACTACTAGACCTATTCAAACGTCACAATTTTAACTTTTTCTCCGCTTTGTATTTTATCACTCAAAAATCATTCATTCTATGAAAATTTTCCTCTCATCATCAGATGATAATGATAATAATGTTTTAAATGAGCCAGCAACACACGCATTTACAACAATAGTGTTTAAACTACAAACCGGACGGATTTTAAAAGACCTAGAAACCACTCAGCACATTGATGATGGTAAAAAATCGTTAGCCAGGAATAACGCGAGAGGGAGAGAGAGGTGAGCAATTGGTTAACCACTTACTTGCTGACCGGAATTTTCTTGCATAAATTTTTTAGAAACACGAAACACATGATTTGCGATATGCTGACCGCACATGTGATGTTGATGTTTTCATTTCATTTACTGCAGTAATGTCACCAATAACTGAATATACAATGAGAACATTGGCAAAAAAGGTTAACTAAAGTAAAAAAAACAGAGAAATTGAAAGGCATTCATGTAACGTGATAGAGAGAAATGAGAATGAGAAGTACTATTATAACTATTAGCATTATTTTGAGGCCACATGTTGGTAATTGTATCCACTACTGTTCGTTTGTTCCCGTATGCATATTGCCGCCGCTAACAGCAAAAACACCGCGAAAGCCATTACTTACATGAAGCATTTAAAAAAAAAAAGAGAAAACTGGTTAACATACATTTGAAAAAAAAATAACCAGGACTTTTAATAGCAGCAATTAACTAACTGAAGGGAATAACAGTTTTTCATACCACATGCAACGCTAGCAAAATTTGTTCAGCAGAGAACGCATATTATTAACCAACTTAAGTTCTCAGCCCTTGTCTATCCTGTTGAATAACTTATTTGGCACTTTTTTGCGTTCATTTTATTTGCTATTAATATTAAACTAAATAACGCCCTCAAAATATTAAACTAAATAGCATACAACTGAAATGATTGAAAACTGTATGCGATCGCTTAAAGTACGCCGGCATACGGAACACCTTGAGAAACAACAACAACAAGGACTGAAATTTTGCACGATTTAATATATAAACATCTACATGTACAAGAAACAACTCAGGCACTTGCAAAGAGGCTTTGATAAACTTTCTATATCCGTCCCATACGTACTACTAAGAATGTCCTCTCACTCATCCTTGATTTATTTATCTATTAAAACATCCTTCAACCCAAACAACAAGCGTAGATGTCCAAGAGTGCATTAATAATAATAATAGATGTGCATGGCTATAAAGATAAATGAGCAAATATGGCAGAAAAACAAAAGATGATTAACCTTCTAACCATTCATACAGAGTGCACTCAATTTCGCTAAAAGATGATTAAAAGTTCAAAGGCTAAGCGAATGTTTATTTTCGCGCACGACTTTTAGCGAGACGTGTACACATAGCGAAAAAGATTCACCCTAGGATCGAGAAGCGTCAGAATTATCATCAAACATTCTTCTTGGTCGTCACATCCGCCGGATCGCAGATGTGACGACCCTTATCGCACCCTTATGAGGAGTTTTACAGCGGAAAGTGAGAAGCGGTAGAGAAGGTTGGCAAAGCACGGTTCAACGCGACGTAAGGTATTGCTATTGTGTGTTTGATGAGATTGGGATAGATTCTAATAGAGCAGATGAGTGATTGCATTCGCTGCTGTCAACAACTAATACGACTGGAGCGCGTTATGAAGGCAAAACGTCTGGAATTGGTCAAAGGGAAAGGTTCGTTTTCATAACTACGACAGGAATCTTTAATAGCTCGATGAAAATTGGAAAACGCTTTACTAAGACGTTTTGCTGTAACCACAGTGTAGGCCTAACCTTGCGCTGTCCGACTATCACTTTTTTCTCTCCCTAAAGTACCTCCGTAGTGTAATCCTGATTTCAAAATAGACCTGCAGAAATCAATTGGTTCAGTTTTCACCTCGGAAATCCCACAAAACCCCAGCGATGTCGTAACGATTTTACCAGAAATATGGTGAATGACTGTCGACCAAGGGGACACATATTTGTTTTAGTAAAATTCATTTAAAACGTACGAAAAATTTATTCGAATTTTGACGCAATTACTTGTGCAAGCATTTGATAATTAGAAGTGGTTTCGCATGTTACGGACTGGGAGCATTTATGTGATAGACAACGACAGTTTTAAGGATTAAATTATCTTAACTTGTATCACAAAGCACAAGTCTTTCTTTCTGTGTTGCTTGTATTCATTTTATGTACACACACACTAACAACACACTTACAATTCAATGATTCAACGCCTTCAAACTAGTGGAGGATTTAAAAGGATTTAAGGATCACAAGTTACGCAAACAATTTGGTTTAAGAAATTAAATTTAATTTATTTTGAATCAGTTCCTTAAGAGCGCTGCTTGGACTTTGCATTCATTTGCAATTAAAATAATCTTCACAAAAATTATTTAACGATTGCCAATATACAATCTACAGAGATAGAGAGAAAGAGAGAGAGAGAGAGAGAGAGAGAGAGAGAAAGAAGAAGAAGAAGAAGAAGAAAGGTTAAACAATAAAAATATATACCACTCTATATATACGTGTAGGACTTGTGCTTTTCAAACCTAAGTAGCACGAGTTGGGAGAGCTGAAGCCGAATCGAAAAGTGCACTTTTTTAAGCGAAAACAATCTTTCACTAACTGCCTACAGATATTGCCATAATACTTGACGCAGACGTCAGTAAAGGTTTTAGTTTTTTTTTTTTTCCTTTGAAAATTTGCGTGTGTTTATTATGACTTGATACTGCATTCGGACAAAGTTGACGGATTCAATTTGAAAGTTTCCACTAAAGATAGAATATAAAATTTGGAAATAACTTTCTCGTCTTGTCTCTTGTTTGCAGCCTCGTAACATTCAAGTCTAATTTGCATGTTATGCTAATAGTGAAAAATGTACGTACGTCGTGTACGCCTCTAACGGAAATTGTGCGAACGCCAGTAATTTTAATGGCTGCGGGCAAACTAGTTAGGCTGTCAATCGCGTTTTAATGTTCATCGTTAAATGGATTTCTCATTCTCTCTTAAATGACTGGGAAAAAAACTTTATTTAGTTGACTGCGGACAAAATCAAAGATTGTCTTTCAAGGAATATTCTTATAATTTAAATGCGTGCATTTAAGTTGTGAGCTTTGCGAATACCTTTAAACCTCTTTCGGTAAGTAAGTACCACTGCCTTAAACCGGGGGATATAACGAAAAAAGCCAGAGTTTACTCTTAAATTATGAAATGTTAATATGTGATAAAGATGACCTCGTTCCTTTTTAGACGAATGGATCAAAGAGGCGAATGCAGGCTAAGAAAAGAAAGTAAAGACGGAAGGCTAAGCAGGGATCTCCCCAAATGAACGAACAGGCAGGATTTAATCGACTTATTGTTTGGAACCTCTTAAAACTGCTTAGCGACTTGCTGAGGCGCCGTTTCCCATTTTTACAAAAAGTATAACAAAATTATAAAATCTCTTCCTCCGATAACGGGTATGAAAATTACGCGAGATAAAAAATAAATTTGTAAACTTTAATTAGAAACTTACCTTAACTTAAGCAGGAAAAGATATTTAAAATTTTTGTAGTATAGGTTTAGTATTTTTGGTTTTGTATAAATAAATTTCGTTGTGTGAAGAGTTGTTATATAGTGCAGTCACAAAATTTCAACTCACAAGTGCGGATAGAATATAAAGATATAAGTAAAAATATCTTCAAGAGTCACACACTATTTGTTGTTATTGTTGTTGGTTGATGTTAGTAGAGACATTAATTGCAAATAGTATGAATACAGGAGTGCAGAGAAAGATAGTCACAAGTACAGAAGGATAGACTGTAAATAGAAGACAAGAGACAATATTTAAATTTATTTTAAGACGATTAAGAGATGAAAAATAAAAAAAATATTATACAAAACATATTTTAGATATTCTATAATTGTGTACATATAAAGCGAACATTGAATACTTAAATAATTGGCGAACTGTGTGGTTTTTAATTGGACCACCACAAAGCACACAATATATTAATTTGTTTTTTACATTAAATTGATAAATAAATAAATAAATAAAAACAATGACGTTCATGCCGTTCAACAAAGGTGCCGCCTTATTCCCTCTTTCTTGTAATAATGCAATTTAAATAATTTTAATAGCATACAAGCTCGCACGCTATCTGCTCGGGCTGCTTGCCTTATGCTCTAAGCAAGTACACAATTACAATAAATTCAAATTACAGATGGTAACGCTTTAGAGGATCTTTTTTCAAATTTCTAAATGCCCCTAACTCGGTCCCGTTTAATCAGCGGCATGCGTGCATTGCTTGCATTGTAACAAGTAGCCTCATAGTAGAGATCATAGTAAAAACTCAAGTTCAACTACACACAACGATTGTACGTAAGGTAGGCAAATGTGCAACCAAGTGATAGTAAGAAGTCGCATTATTAATTTTATACATTAGTTCAGAGTCCTTTATTCACTTTGCTGTTATCGTTATCTTCTTCTTCTTCTTGTTGCTTGTTATTGTCCAGATTAAAATGTTGTTCGTTTTTCAGATGGTATTAAATTATTTCTCAGATTTACTCTCTACTTAGATTTTTATTCTTTTCCCACGTTTCTGCTTTTCATCATTTCGTCCCTCCTTCCCCTTCTTCCCGCAGCAGTCATTCTACTACTACTACTACTATCAGTGCAACACACAAATCGCTTTAGAGTAACTTAGTGATTCTATTGTTTAACTCGCACTCTTTAATTCTATTGCTGCACTATTACTCTGCATACAATCTAATAAGAGTAACAACAACTTTTTTTTCTTTTTTGTAGATTACGCCAGATAAGCTCGGCGATAGTTACGTCGCTGTTCTTTAATTTTTTTCCCGTCCTTTGTGTTCCTTGTGTGTATAAATATATATATATATATTATATATATATATATATATATTTTTTTGGATTGGCTGTGTACTCGTCTTTATACATGGTCGTATTTGTACGGTATCATGTTTAGTGTCACAGTTTGTTTTCGATGCAAAGTTTGCTTTTGTTACTTCCCCAGCAAGAGAAAGCCTCGTTAAGTACGTGTGCATATGGATGTGCTTTGCCCTTTATTTACAGTCACGCTGGATGAATTCGTTTGCGTTGGTTTCTTCACATTTTTCTAGTTTCATTACTAAACCTACAAAACAAATTACTTTACAACTTCATTATTTTATCGTTACAACCAGCTGCTATTTTTTTCTTTTTCTTATTCTTTTTTTTTTTTTTTTTTTTGTCCTTTATATTCTTTAGTATAATAATAAGAGAAAGTTTGAAAAAAGAACTCTTCTGCTCATGATAAAGTCGGAGGTTCTGCGATTTTAATTTAATTATTAGAAAAGTGTATATAAATACTTAGTTTTAAATAATTTAATCTATTCTCAAACGAATAACTACGATGCGCAGAACGCCAGCCCGACCTCATAACAAATTTAATAAATCCCAATAAAGATTTATTGTTATTGAACGGATATTGATAAGAAGACACAGGTCAAAGACTTTTTCCGGAGGATAGTGCTTCGATTTTCGATGAATGCTATGTAACCTTTTCAGTTTAATGCGACAATCGCAACTGTCACCTACGGGGAGTAGTTAGACCACTTCAAATTTTACAGGAAATCAACTTCAGAAAATTTTGGCTTGAAATTTCTAGCTCTTTCCCAAGCTCACTGAAAAGACGACCTCAGTTCGAAGGAATACCTGAATATTACAGTCTGACATCGCTCACCTGTTGATTTGTAACCTCTGTAGCAGTATACTAACAGATGTCGTGACAGAAAGTCATTAAAAATCATTTTCAAACAAAAATGCGTTAGTGTGGCTTTATCGAGTCAGTCGTTGCAACGATATGAAGCTGGGAGCTATTCGCACAAATTCAGTGCTTCTGTCAAAAAATGGAAAGTTTGAAAGAAATGTTTGATAGTAACTGTGAATTCGAGTACAGATATATAAATTTTCTTGCCATTCTTGCTGACAATTTACAAAAATTAAAGTGTAATACGGGCGCTTCTTTGCCCGCCTTTGGTAAATACAGTAAAACCAACAGGCTGTGGTTATCTTCAAAGAAAGACAATGAGAAAGACTAGGTGCGAACTATATTACAGCTTAGTAGAAGGGAAACGCATGATGAACTTAATTTATTATTGTTTTAGAAATGTTTTCACCTAAATATTTACATGCGCTAGGCACTAAGCGTTAACGCTGTAGTATTTAGCCTATCGACCTTTGCATCGATTTCCCTTCCACTAGATGATCGACCTTGCGTCAACATGACGTTTCGTATTTTCCTTCCTTGTACTTATGATGAAATCTTAACAAGTAATTCGCGAATAGAGAATAGAAAAATGAGTGTAACAAAATTTTTGTTTTTGAATTCTCAGTTGATATCCGCACTTGGAGCGAGAAAAGGAAAAACTATCAACCGGACAGGTAGAAAATAATATGACAGAGTCGTGTATTCAATCCCCTGTTTGTGGCCTTCGGGTTTTAGGAAAGAAAGCAACAGATGATAGCCTAAGGTTACATTATAATACCTATGCTGCGTAAATGGTGTCAAGGATACGGATCACTGGAATGCTAATAATTTACGATTGCTCCTTTTCAGAGCTTTTATCAAAGGCTTTCATCAATACACCCACTAGGTTGGTTACTTGGTTAATCCGTAGATTGTAATTTGTAATCCTAAGAGAAGGAACTGAACAGATTCCGAAGCAACTGTTCGGGGTGATAATCTAATCTTCGCTCATTCACTTATTTAACCAAAAACATAAAATGAAATAAAAACTGGTTTAAACCTCCTACAATGACGTTTTCAAAGTTATGGCGATGATGTGATCGTTCAGTTTCCTGCTCTTTAACAGTCCGCGGACGGGAATAGTGCGCTGAGAATTAACTGACAAGTTTGTAACAACAGTTATTCACATTAATCGAAAGTAAAAACTTTAAAAGCGTTTAAGTGTCATATCTTCATACATAAAAGACACAAAAAGTTAAGAAACAAATCACTTCAGGCGCTTGAAAACTTTTCTTTCAATATATAAAACAACGGATGGAGAATGGAAAAATTAAATGTTTTGTCGACGTAAACGTTTTTAATTAAAATGAATTTGGAATAGATTTGTGTACAAAAATGATGAAAGGCCGATAAATAATCAAAGAACAAGAAATTTACTGAAAGGATACAAACGTAATTTAAAAAAAGTTTATATTAAATTAAATAGCTACTAAAGTTGTGCTTATGTTAGTGATTAATATAAAGTAGAGCGTAAGTTTCTAATAGAAGGAAAAATGCTTTAACAGCTGCTGCTAGTATTATAAGAATGGACGCCCAGTAGCTTTTACTACTTTTCTTCGGTGCCGTAGGACATAGGAATAAAAGGATGGCTTTAGCTGGCTTACGCTCCTAAATAAGGACCATATTATTGCTAATGTGTTTACCCATCCCTGCAGGGTGTAAAGCAACGACGGATTTTCTTTCGACATTCAATATGAATTAAAGCTTATTTTTTAATCTTCTAGATGTGTACTTAAACAATGCATAATGAAATAAATAAATACAAATACAATACAAACAGTGCTAATAAATGTGTAAATGTTTGCTTTTTATGCGTGTGGGTATAAAGATTTATTCAGCGTATACTGAACTAGTAATATTTTGCGTGGCATACTTTTAGGCGCCATGTGACACATATTCAGATATTTACAGAAAAATTTTTGAGACGAGGAAAATCAATAAAATAACTTTTTTAACGAATTAAAGAAGGAAAAGTATTTAGGTTGTGTATAAAAATGATTTTCCCAAAGACGAACGAACGGCACTAATAAACAGCTCTGATAAATTATGAAAATTAAATTAAATTTAAAAAAAAATTCTCAATAGTTAAAAGAATGCATTCATTTGAAGTGAGGGAAATAAATTCCCTGCAGTTAGTTCTGCACTTGTTTCTATATTTAGTTTTATTATTTATTTAGAGGCTTCAACGATTGACTCCATTTCCAGACTTTGGTTTATTCCGTCACAAAGAACTCATACGCATTCCCCACACCATATATTCGTGCATAGACGCACATAAGACACTTACACACACCAACAATTGCACATAACTCTACCAACTTTAGTTTGTATTCTTAGCACTCAATAACGTTTTATTGCTAATTTATTCGTTTTTCTACATTTTTCAACAAAACAAAATAAGGAAAATTTCTTCTCAATTATTTGGTTTTTCTTTCTTTTATACTTTAATTTTATAGTAGTGAACGTTGTAAAGCTGTGTAGCCAACTTCTTTTATATGTTCGCTTTTTATTCTTTTGAATATTCTGCTATTCTGTCTATCTTACACTGTGTGCTTCTGTGCTACGTTCGCACTCTTCTGTGGCGCACAACTATTGAAAACCGTATACAGTGCAGCCGCAAAATATCTATCGCTGCACATATACACAAATACATTTGTAGTATTCGTTTTGAAACAACGACCATCGTCGGTTAATATCGGTCGTCTATTTTCCTTTCCTTGTGCCTCCTCTTTCGAATATTTTTTCAACGTATATTTACAATCTACGTTAAAGTTCAGCATGCCAAACATGTGACTTAAAGAGTACAACAAACAACAGCCACATTTCACTCTAACAGTTGCCATAAGACTCACTTACTCTCAAGACACTGTACTCATAACTCATAACATTAGCTTACATGAAATTTACTCAAAATTGCAAAGCTCACGCATAAAAAAAAGGAAAACTCACTGCCAACAGCTCGTTGTATTATGCGTGAATTTCATGTTTCCTCCTAGTTCGCAGTCCGTAGTTAATATAATCATCATCTAAGAATAATTTTCCTTTTTTTTTGCATTTGTTCATTTATTTTGTAAAATTGTTTTTGTTGCTGTTTCGATTGTCGAGTATAAAAGTACTTTCGCTATTTATGTGTAAGCGGGACACTGTCACAGAAACACTCACTTAACAATGTTTCAATGTATGAGTATTTACGATGTTCATTGTTAGAACGAAATCACTAAATGTTTGAGCATTTCAATATTATTCACTCAGCATAGTGGGGATATTGGAGACTTGTCTCAAAATATTCATACACTCAAACTCTTGGTTTGCAGGAGAAATTCTGTTCATTTTTTCGAAATTCGTTATTAATTTTCGGCCAAATTATTCTTATATATACGTTTTAGGCAATGAATTATACCAGAATTACATTACTTTCTCATTGACACAAACTTAAGGTATTCGCCCTCTATCACTCTTTCTGCACGTAGCCCCTACGATGCAGTACAAACTACTGAATGGATTGCTTGATAGGATTTGAAATCACGTTCGCAGCACGATCTGGAGCAAATTTAAATACGAAAAACGGCAAGGACTTCCTGAGTCATAGAATGCAATTTAAAAAGGACGTAGGCTAATGCTACGTTTCAGATTTTGCTTCGAAAGTCGTAAAAGTAGACAGCCGATCGAATACACTTTCGCTCGTTAAGTACATATGCGCCTCCCGCGATCCCCAATTCAAATCACAAAGAATTGCAGTGCAAGCGAAAAGACAAAAATGTTACTACTACTAGTATTAATAGCCGTTATAATGTTGTTATTGGATATAAGGAATGATCGTGTCTTCCCAATTCAAATGTTGCATCGAATGCATTATAAGTTGAGATCATTCTTACAATATTCAATTGTTGGTGTTATTTACCTTAACTGTGTCTCGTCTTTCTCCGCTCTCTCTCTCTCTCTCTGCCACTCTATTAATTCATCTAGTTTCGTGCTCTTTTTTTTCTTCTTCCATTTTACCCAAAAGCTTGTGTTATTTCTAAGACCACTTTAAGGACAATTTCGGCATAATTAATATGACAAGATTTTCAAAGGAGTAAATAAATTTCTTGGTAACTGTAAATTTTGACGACAGATCAGATCAGAGTATAAGCATTTATAGTAAACAGTTTTACTATTTGCAACGCTTCCAATTCCCTTGACTCGTGTATAGTTCTTCTTTCTTTTAAAGATATGGTACATTTGTTTTTTCACGCCTCCGATTTATTAGATGCTAGTAAGTACAATTTTGAATTTTAAATATTAGGCTATGTCATCGAAAAATTGTTAAAAAACTGCTAAATTATATCTAATAAGGCAACCTCACCTACGCCTAAATGGCCACAAAAAACGTCTCAGCTATTTCCTTCTCTATCGCTCCTTACTCTTTCCCGTTAACATCTCGCACTTCCTCTTTCCCTAATTTTGCCCCATAAATATCCATGTAACTGCTATGCATTTCATGCACTATCAGTACATCCGAAAAAATTTATATAAATTAGAGTGACATACACATAAACATACCATGTGCCTAGCGCGATATTTAACTACATGTAATGATATATAATCAAGTACCGCTTATTTGACGCATGCTCATTAAATGCCCAAAAGCAGATTACACGTTTGCAAACAATCTTTTTTTTTTTTTTCTTCTTTTTTCTACAAACGATATTGATTTGTTTTTGTAATATATTCACATGCATGTCAGCTGTTTTTGCAATTTCAAATGAGAGAGTAAAGCACATCAAGAGTAGGTTAGTGTGAACATTCACATTTACATGCAAAAAGTCGTATCTTTATGCAATAGTAACTGTGTCGGGATGGTTTCTTCAATTATTTTGCAAATATGGAAGTGTAAGACAAGGGAATCGAATAAGTAGACAAAATAATTTTAACTTTGCACGTAAAGCGTGAAAGGATATCCACGCAGTTCCGATGATAGGTAATTACAAGAAGCAATATGTGTTCACTTTTTGCATTCGCCATCTGCTGCTTATAGCTACAGAAAGATTGCTTTAAAATTGATTATTGTTGATATTAAAATCAATTGCTTCCAAGCCGTCGTTTTGTAATGCAAGCACAAACAGTGCGCAAGCAATAGAAACGCTTTTGGAACGACTTATGGATACCCAACATTTTTAGCCTTGACATCGATCAACTAAGTAAGTGTTCGAATAAACCTATCTACAGACGTAAACATTAATAGAGACACAGGGCTTTAGGATATTTACGACATCTCTTCTCTTATAGAACTTATATTGCACCCTGAACTTTGAGGCTAACGTACACCGCTTGAATATGAGAACAAACAAATGTACTCCGTTGAGAGGAAGTGTTAGATCTTTATCTGTGGATACGCTCGTTCGCTTGTATCCTTACAGGTGCCTAAAAGTGGGCTGATAAGTTGAGGTTTTGGCTCAAATAAGATGTGGGAAAATGGATAAAGAGCACAACAAAATAATATTTATGGTATGTACAGAGGAAATGAATAAAAACTTTGGTAAAATTATTCAGTATAGTTATGCTAAGGTTTGCCAAAAATTATTCTGCTCGATGCGCAATTAAGTAGAAGTTCTGCAACTATTGCGAGATGCTTCGATTGCTTCCAATATGAAGTTAATGTGATGACGCATTTAATGTCATCAAGCACGAGTATAAGAAGAACGTAATTGAAAAACGAAAGTTGGCGAGGAAAACTTTCCAGCTGCAGCGGCAATTAGATGCATTTTTACATATTTTTCAAAACTTTAGTTAATGTAATTCTTAAACAAATTTCCGAAAGTCATGTGGTAAGTCTATAACCTATTTAAGCCTTCTTCTTCAAGCTCTAAATGATTCAAATCCAAAAATAATATTTACGAGTCCTTGAATATAAAATGGTCGAACAGAAACAATAAACGTATTAAATAGAAACGTAACTACATACTACACGATTAGTGAATGCTTTCACAATTCTAGATATACAAAATAGGTCACATTACTTGAAGTGTGTTTAAGATTTCAAAAAACTCTTCGTCCACATTAATGCCAATGATTCTTATTCAATGCTTCAATACATATATTTTAAAAATGATTCTTCCACATGTGTCACTAGTTTGGGAGGAAGGCAAGGAATTAAAACTCATACGAAACGACAGGCACAAAATCATCACGCAGTCATTATGAAAGATTTTACAAAATATGAAGGGTCATTAAAACAAGTCACAACATAAAATATGTCACACCAAACACTTGCAGCACAGTACCGAGAAGCGAGAGCACCAATACGTAAGTATATTATATTTATGCATAACACACTTATTACACATTTATGCCACACAAGTGTGTATACAAATATATTTTCGCACAGAGTTACGATTCTTCACATACTGACAGACATAGTAATTGAGTCATTTCCTGTAGAGGAGCACAACTTTAAGTCAATTGCAGATGCAAATTTTGCGTTTGTGTGTTTGCGTGGACAAACAATGCAAAAACGTTAACTGGTAGCCAAACAAACAAACCAAGCCAAACAACACATCGTTCAACCGTTGCAAACATTGTTTATTCGGTACGATGGCGTACATAAGTAAGTAAGTCGCTAAGTAGTTTACTACGTAAACGTGTAAGGGAGAAAAATCAAGCATTGTTCAAAACATGTGCACCCATATGCAAAGCTGATTTGTCCACATTGGTAACGTGTATTACATTTTCAAGCAGAAATTTCGCAAATCTGATAAAAATTTTAAACAGACTTCACGTACAGTACAAAAAGCATCCGTTTTTGTTCTCTTGTAGACACTTTGGCATTTCAAATGAGATTTTAAAGTTTTGTCCTTCTCAGAGACGGCTTGTTTTATGCGGCAATCTATGCCTTTTTGTATTTCTATCTCTGAGCGTAGGCGCTACTGAAGATAAGGATGTAGAAATTTTTGTTGGCAGAAACACGAATCAGAGATTCTTTGATGTTCTTGGAATTCGGCGCAGGAGATTAATTTAATCAATTATATGTACTTGTTACGGGATCCCGAATCAATCCGTCTTAACAAGACAAGTGCTTATTGAATTGTAAATCTAAGACACAAATTAATTAAATTCAATTTGCATTGGATTTCTTGACGCCGATGGTTACTTTGTGTTTGCATTGATTGTAAAGTAGAGTGAAGATCCACATTTCAAGTCATATTTCATATTTGTAGACAAAAGACGAGCAAACAGTCGAAGTTGGTATTGAAGAACAGATAACTGGGTCAAACGACACGCCCTTGGCAGGGTGAAAACCAAAATCAAATCTCTTTTGCTCTTTTCTCGTATATTATAAAAGGTATAAGGCTTAAATTTTGTAACTTAAATTATGGTCGACGCGACTATTGATGTTCAAAAGTGGAGAAAATGGGCCACACCTACATAAACTCATAAGTAATAGAATTTTAATTTTTTCACTCTTTTGCTCATTACGCGTAAAGTAAATAAGACGGAACTCCATGACAAACAGAGATGCTACAGTAAATGGTTGCGGATGTACAACATTCGTCCTCGGCTTCTCACTTGTTTTTAATATGAAAACAATTTCTATGCAGAAATCGGACAAATGAGCGATTTAGAAAGCAAACGTCTCCTTTAAGGAGAAGGTTAAGATTCTGTTGGAAAATGTTCTTAGGCCAAACAAAATCAACAATGACAATTTCATGACAGAGCAGGGTAACTAAATTACTGATTAAACCAATTTCCCGAAACCATCTGAAGAAACCGGCCGGGTCTGTTTGTCTAGCGGAATTTTGAGCAAATTGCAGAATGGATTTTAAACGACATAATTAATTAAATCTGCAATGAGTAAATTTTGTTGGATTGCAAAGTCTACAATTTCGCGTAATTACATTAACACATAATTCACGTAACAAAAGCAATTTTATGAATGATCAGATGTAGCGAATTCGAAAGGATTACTTGTAGGTAAATGGATGCAGAGGGGCAATGAAAGGAATTTTTCATAACATTTATGATATTAATACTCAATTAGTTCAAGTGGTTAACTTTAGCCCCATTTACGTAACAGACCATGCGAGTTTCTTTGGGGGTCCTTTGATGGATACCAATGGTTTTTTGATTAAAGCAAACACACACTTTTTATTAATACCCAGCATGGAATTGCTGCAAAACTAACTTTTTGACAAAATTAATGTTCTTTTGGGAAGCTGAGGCAAAAAGTTTTCTAGTTTTCTTTTGAGTAAAGTGAAAAGAAAGAGAAAAAACTATATTGAAGTCTTTGTTTCTCCTACCAACATCACATATAACGAGCTGAAAATTGATGGTTCGTAATAAATTTCCGTTGTAACATTTGTAGATCATAACAATAACGAATCGAGTCCAACATACCAATGCTGACAAAGTTTTACGCTATTCAAGGAAAAAAAAAAAAAAATTTGGAAAAAAAGAAAACGAAGAAGAAAAAAGTAGACACAAGACTAAAGAAAACTATTCACGTTCAATAACCGAACAAATTGGAAAGTAAATATTGAATGAAATCAAACTTTTCACACACTGCCAACCGAACCATGAGCACATTCAACGAGACATTTAGTTAAAGAATGATAAAAATAATGCTTTTAGAGAAAAGAAAGAAAATCGGTTATAAAAGTAATAATAATAATAATAATAATAATAATAATAATAGAAACGAATCTGCAGGCACGCAATGATGATAATAATGATGCATTATAATTACAAAAAAAAAAAAAAAAAAAAAAAAAAAAAAAAATAGAGAAAAGAAAAGAACGGAATTGAATTGAATGAATACAAAAATAAATCAATTTCATAATATTTACTAAAAGAATATCGAGGAAGAAAGACGAAAATACGACATAAAGCACGTTTTCCAAAGTCATATTACATACATAATAACAACACCACAGTGACAACGGCGATTGCTGAACGGTCAGAGCCATGGCAATACGGCTGAAATATATGTTTCTCAACAGTCGCACAATAAGATATGACATTAAGACATTTCAAGAAATCCATCACTTACGACGAACAACTTCACATAAGACACAGCGTACAAAGAATGTTTATACCGCAATGCCAATGCTATTGGGAATCAAAGAGAACTTATATATTAGATTGATTGGATATTAATAGGGACATAATAAAATATTGAAGAACAAAAACGACAAATTGCAACTCATAAAGTATTAATAATAATTATGACATAAATACGAGTAAACGAAATCAATATAAATAATGAAAATATTATGCGAAGCAGACTCGCTTTAAAGGAGTTTTTCTCGTAAAAATAAAAAACTATTTGCCAACCTTGCTTAATATCATTAATCGAATGAACTATTTCTTACTTCTATAGATTCTTCATAGCTTCGAAGAATATGACTCAGGACGAGAATTTACTAATATTGTTGTTGTCTAAATTAAGTTTTCTTCTTTTTTTTTTCTTCAATTTTTTTCTTCACTTTTACATTCAAAATAACCGGTAACCAGTTAGAAGAGATTTCGATTCGTAAGCTTGTCGGAGAGAAGAAGCAAGCGATGCAGCCTTTTCAAATGTTGTACATTCAAGTCTATGGGCAACGAAGCCTAGCAATAAAGTAAACAAATAGAATCAATATGAAAAATATCTTATGCTTACAGAGAAACTTTTCAGAATTGACAAAAAGGAACGCGAAACAATCGTCTTCGGACTAAAATATCGACTTAATTTAGTTAAGAAGCTAAGCTGATTTGAGATTAACAAATCTGTCAAGCCTGGCGGCATTAACATTAAGCCAGGAAAACCTGCTTCCACTAACTAAAATCCGTATAAAATTTAATTTGACAAACATGTGCTTGTGGAGATTCCTTACGAAGTATTAGATGCATATTGAAAACGAGGTTTTCTTGGCTTGAAAAAGAAGATGTTTTTATAGCTACAATCTTAATATGAAACGATAAAAATCTCCAGTAAATAACGATTATTATAGCCCATATTTCATCGTTTATGGTCGAATAACATATGTACATATATACACTAATACGCATTTGATTGCAAGATAAAGTGTACTAAAATAAAAAAGAAGACAGCAAAAGTGTCATTAATAATACTTCACACAAGCTAAAAGCCATATAAAATAAAATAGTTTATCTTGACAAGAAAAAATTGAAGGCCAAATGTAACGTTCTAAATCCAAACAAAAGAGAATTTTTTCCCAATTTTCGGCAGCACTTGATTTATGAACGTAATCTGTCACAGAAAAAAGAAATTTTGGAATCAAATTCGCTTTCCTAAGCAAAGCAGTGAGGTCATAATCGATCGGCTGATTGAATTGATTCGGCCATTCGCGCTTAATGCTGAATGCACGGCGTGATGGTAGTAAATGACAAAAATTAACTAAAATCTAGTTTAAAAAAAGAATTCAATTTTTTAATTTTAATGCAATGAGAATATAATTTTACTTTCTTTTGCGTAGTCTTCATCTTCAATAAGAACAATTTCATACGTAGGTAAATGCATTTTTAATTTTTTCTTTTTTATTCAAATATAACTAGGAAAACAAACCCAGCTACACGATTTATCACATTTGAGTGAGAGTTACAACATTACGGCTAAAAGCAGGAGAAACAAATGAAAAGTAAGGAAATTCCACGACATTAAAACAAAAACAAATGGAAGAAAATCTCATCTAAACATTGGATGACATCTTTTTTTGCTGTCTTAATGGTACTTCGTTGCAGAATTTGCAAACTTTTTTGATTCATGTTCGTGTATGCGTGCATTTTTTAGCGAGTTTTGTGTTTTACATTATTTTGAACATTTGAATAACGTTGAATGTTTGTGTTACTGTGCATTTGCATATATGAGTGCATTTTCCATTCGTCTATACGTGAATGCATGTATCCTTTTTGTACGTATGTATTTATGTACGCGCATATAAACATGTCAAAAACACAATTGCTCTTGAAATGAAATTGAAACGGAATCCTCATCTTTCGACAGCTTGAAATGACGAAGGAAAAAACCTGCCTCCTCTAGTCTCATAATCATACTAAAAAATATAGCGCGAGAGGTCTACAGTTAATTCACTACATTTACGTTACTGAACTTAACAAAATTTCACATGTGCTATGCGTGTATGAGATACGTACGTACAATATGCATAGTTGTAAATGCTCGCAACCGTTGATCTAAAGGCAACTACAGTGCATTGTATTGGTCTAAGTCATTGCGAAACAAACCCGAAATGTCCTTGCAAGAGCATGAGCATGAGCATGAGCATGAGCATGACCAAATCCTTCACATTTGAACTTCCAAGTAGATAATGTTATAGATAAATGTACGCTGGCAGATAGTTTGCATGCACTAATGTCTATAGAATACAAAAACGTGTGTGTACGTACATCAAGTGTTTAAAGAAAATTGATTTATTAAAATAATTGTGCTTACGTATCCATAAAATGAAATTTATTTAACTTGTATGTCTCATCTAATATACTCATAGAAATTTGTCTTCAATTCGAGTCATCATATCCACTTGGGATATGTTCAGTTAAAGGGTATACAAGCTCAATAATTAGCTCAATCATATATTGTTTATTAAAGCGTGATGGTCGCAGGTAACTCGTGCAATAGCGCCGGTTACTCTCTCGTGCACAGAATATTTCATTATTTCAATTACGTAACTCTTACTCTGTGTATCACTCATCATATGAAGTATTAACGTCGTATACAAGAAGGGAGTAGACTTTATCGATAACTACCACTTGATTTTCAAATCTAAACAAGTCGATCAAGATAGAGACTTGGATACCCTACATCGCTTTCCCTAGTACAGTTGTTCACTCGTTTTGGTAATAATTCATCAAAAATTACACATGATATTGATGTAAGCCCGTCTGTCGTAGAATGCCCAAAATAGCATATGCTGTGTTTTAAAGTTTTCTAAAAATTTTATTAATTTTCAGCTCTCGCCATAAAACCCTACAAATTAGATTTATTTCCCTTACATTTCAAGATATTCACATCCACGATAGAATATGTTACGGCTAGCTTCGATTCTGAGATTCATGGAATCATCTAAAAATTTCTCTGAAATTCTAACAAGCGCCTAATTAACACAAGACTTTCACGTGGCATATGTGGAAGCTGAATTGGAATTTACCAATGGACTGAGTTCATTTTATTATTTAATCTGCGTGGTGCGTGGTAGGAACGCTTATACCCGACACTTAACAAAAATTAAAAAAGAAAAAGAAAAAAACCGAGAAAATTCTTTACGAAAATCCTTACAACAACCATAAGAAAATATGTGAAAATTTACATATACGTAATAAATATTTTATGATGTGTGATGTGTCTTCTAATGATTATCATTGGCATTCCAACAATGAAGAAGTCGTTAATTGCTTAATTAATTAGCATTAGGTTGGTTCTGTAAAATGTATGTTATTGCGCAAGAAAAATACTGCATCATAAATTCATTGATGAGTGTAAAGTCATGTCAGTATGATTATAACACCCTTTTTTACAGATATCAGCGAATTTTCAGCTGTTGATTTTCTAAACAGAAATAGAAGAAGAAGAAGATAATTATAAGATCATTGTAAGTGAATTTAGAGAAAGACACACTTCTCCAAGCGAATAAATTAAAACTTTTAGGCAAATCGAAACTATATTGTGTACATTGTGTGTACTTGTGTAGAATCGTTACACAAATGATCCGTGTACATTTTTAGATCGATCGTAGCAACAGGGTCTTTGCCATATGTAACGCATGTATATGGTAGGTATCGAGAAAAAAAAGTTACTTGGCTATCACGATTGAAACGACAAGCAAATCTCATACTTACAGATATAACAAGTAGAAATATGACGTGAGTTAATTTTAAGAGGTCTCTTGTTAAAAGTGCACTTTTATTGTGAAGAAATGATTACAGGAACTAATTAGGCAAAATATTGTCCGCTGCCTTTTCCCACATTTTTCGTATTACGTAATTTCCTTGTCGAGTAAAACGTTCGATTTCGACGCTCTTTACAAAAGCACCTGATATCGTCGCATAAATGGAGGCGCTGCTTGGACTTATACTCAAAATGAACGGCTTATTTGATTTAGTATATAAATTTCTTTAAACTCTAAATTTTTATTGATAATAAGCTTAGTAGCGAACAGAGATTATTTTCAAGATAAGAGTTTTCCCGCAATTGGAGCAGCTACGAAATCAACCACAACGACATGTATCGATAACAACATGCTTTAGCTTGTTATTTTTCAGATTTTCGGAATTACGGAGAAGAACAGATAAATAAACACACACACACACACACACACAAACACAGAAGAATGCGACTTCTGATACTTCTACCAAGCAGCTTTTATATTCAAGGGAAGAAAAATGTAGTCGACCAAGCCGATCTCATAAGCTTTATAATAAAACAAACACATCTTTAGGAAATTGCCTGCATTAAGTTTTGTTAAGAACTTTCAGAAATTCTTCGCTATTCTCTACTTACATAAAACATCCAACGTGCATGTAAGACATATTTCATAAATATAATATGATTGGGTTTCTTCCTCTGAACAATAAATACTTTTATCTGCACACGCTAATCTGTACTTATATGTATATATATATATATATATATATATATATATACATATATATATATATATATAATGTTATAACCAACAACGCTAAAAAGAACAAATAAACATCGGATTAAAAATAGAGTAATAGACTACAACAGCACATACCCATGCCAATGTACAACATACACCAAGCTAATGCACTGAAAACATCAGTGCAGACAATAGCAATAAAAAAGAGAGCACGACATACAGATAAATATACCAAAACAAATCTAGAAACACAGACACGTGCATACAAACATACGCACACAACTTACTACCAAAAATGATGACGCTGCAGTTTACGCGAGGTGAAAATATTGCAACTTAATGACAATTATGACGAAGTCAACGATGTTCTAAACGATGTACATTAAAACCAATGTAAGGAGACTGTAATTAAGTTAAAACGATGTAGACTTGCAAGGAGAGTTTTTTTTTTAGAAAACATATTTTATATATATATATATATATATATAAATATGTACTTTTATGCATATACGTGTATATGTGAGACATAAAAATGAACACATCACAATGATTTTTAGAATTAAATTCTATTCAAAACTTTGATAATGATATGGATTTTTTGGCTTTCTTTGTTCATTACTTCTAAGGTATAAAATTTACATGTAAAGGGAGGAAAAAGTGTATATATGTGCGATTAATTTCACATGATATGTATAGATTGCATTATAAATTAGGTAACTGAATTGAGTTACTTTCTCAAATACTTTCTCAAATCTTTCACACCATTTTACCATTTGAAGCACTGGCTGGCTATTTGAATAAAAAATGTGTTCACTGATTTCTTTTCTTATTAAAAATGATTATTTCACATGTATTTCTTTTTCATTATTATTAATAACGATTTTGTAAACACTTTCCAAATGCCGTTGTCTGTCGCCACTTCACACACTAACACACTGAAAATAGATACGAAAGGTAACAACAGACAAATGAGAATAATGAACAATGCAGAAAGGAACATAACGAAGAGTAAAGGAAACTATTGAAAAACAACAACTGTCAATAACCTTTCCTACGGAAAAGGGTGTCTTTATTGCTTTGCTCTCTTATATTCCTTCATTTATTCCGTCTGTTCCGTTTACAGGCGACTGCAGAATTAAGCAGATTTAAAAAGTTTTCTCTCAAAAGCTTCACATCCAACAAAAAAGCTAATAAAGCTTTAATTGCTGCAGTCTCTCGACTATCATCTAATGTAATAAATATTCTAATATAGTTCTTTACCTTTGAAATGTTTCCGTGTATGTGTTATATATGTTACAATTTAATCGTAGGTTGTGCTTATAACGTTTTTAGCTAAACGACAAGCTAATCAAAATTTTGGAAAATACTTTTTTAATTAAAAATTGTTTAATTGATAAACGTTTTTTTCTTTTCCTTAAAAATCCCCTAAAAAACGATTAAAATCGATTTTATATACATTTTTTTTTTTTTTAAATATTTCGCACAAGACACTTAAACTCGTTGCTTTCGTTTCACAAGGAATAAAGAAACAGCTACAGCGGCAACACCTTTATTCACGTTCTCCGTTTGTTAGTTTGCAACAACAATATAACATATATTCAAAATTCATTGCATTTTACTAATTGCATTAATTTGATTTTCATTCTTCAAAAATTCTTCTCTTTCCTTAATTATAAATCGTTTGTCACAATCTTAAATTTGATATTTTTACAAAACTATTTCCTCAAATTCGTCCACACACACATGAATGCAACACAAACCAATTTTGATTAAAATCACTCAAACTTTTATTTTTGCTTTAGTCATGTTCTTCTCTCATCTATTCGATAGATGTGAGAAAAAGCTTTTCCCTTTCTCATTACTCTCTGGCTTGTATATTTTCGTACTGCAGTTATTTTTCTGAGTTCTGTTTACATATCCTCTAAAGCCAATACAACGAACTCCTACAACGAATGTATGAACTATTCCTAATGTAATATATAAGAGTATGTGTTCTCGGAATTCTCAATTTTCTCAATAAACGGAAAACAGTGGCGGCCCACATACATTTATAAAGTGAAAAAGGCAGTAAAGAAGGAGCATACACATAAAATACACATATATGATGCCTTTAATCCATGAAAGGTGGCCACAATATAACAATTTTGTTCGATGACTTGATTATGGGGACGATCTTTCTTGCAATAATCCCAATCGCGATTGCCACTAGCCGTCCTTCCGTTGTTACTTACGCTAAAAGTTGCTGTGCAAAATCGTCGTGCAAAAAATCGAAATTCCCTGAGTTGCACCCTTTTCATTACAAAAACACTTCTTAACTTAGGAAAAGTTTCAATTTCGTGATGCGCAAAAGGCTTCTTCACGCACCCGATCAAACGCGACAAGGAACGTGAACAGTCTTACACGATGTCATAACCAATAAATAAAATTAGCTATCTATTATTTTTGACGGATTTGGACGTAGCGGTTTTTTTCTTCAATCTTGTTCAGTTAATTACAGCGTTGCCTACTCTCCTAGCAGACTTTCGTTGTTGTCAAAACTAAAGGTACGCAGTATGCAAAATATGCAAATTGCACATAACTTCTTTTACTGATATATATTTTGCATCCCATTTTCTTCGAAAGCTGGAAGTGGGAGGTTAGTTAAAGAGCACATGACATGAAGTGCAGGGTACACATAGGGTGGTCATAAGAGGAATCCTCCTCCTTTTATGTCAATCGATTCAGATCTAACGAATTCACATGGTATCCAAAGAGACTTTAAACGAAAAATAATACGACAAGTAATCTTCATAAAACACCTGCCATTGCACTATTCCATTGTATTAATTTGTAACGGACCAAAGTCAAAGGACCAAAAGTCAGAGCGCACTAATGCTTTTATTTCTTTGCTTTGCTTACTTGTATATTTATTTGTTTTTTTAATGTAGTTTATCTATTATATCAAACTTAAATGAATTGCGCAAACCAACCTCGAAAGTGGGGCCATGCGAAAGAACGTCGAAGACAAATCGAACTGAACTGAAAGTTCTAACGTTTCTAGTTAAGTCAGTTTTGGAAGTCAACCTGACGAGGATGATAAGAGTAAATCACAATTAAATTGGTTTTTTGACAAAGATCTTCAGTCGTAGTCTAAATCTATTATTCTAATCATTCTGACGAGAAGAGGTCTGGGACATTTCACGCGTTGTGAACATTTCACATGTCTATTGCATACCCTGTTGTGAGAATCGATTTATTAGCATAAAAATACATTTAGCTTAAACGATAATAGGACGAAGCAGAAACAACTGGAACAAAAACAAAATTGTAGTAACTAGCTAAACATGGGTAGACGCATATACATGTACGCTCTCCTTCTTGCATTGAGTTATAAGCCATAATGGAATAAGTGCGATTTTCGTTTTGTGAATAGATGCAAATTTGGGCTAATCGCAGTGAGATGAATAGAAAAGTCTAGATCTTTACATATAGATCGAAAATCTTGTTATATTAAATTTTTATTTACTTTATCAATTTCCTCCACAAGTTTCCGGGATTAAGTCACGACAAAAAATTTGTCAAATTTCGAATTATCCTATTATGCCTTTAGACTCTTTAATATATACGTATAAACGCTTCATGCAGTATACATTGGTCACATTAAGTGTGATAAAAATTTAAAAGCAAGCAGAGAGGTCTATGCATATTGCTCTATAAACGTGAATGTTCGTTTGTATATATATGAGCAAAGAGAACCCGTCATCATTTTTTCTAAGCATTAAATTTACATTGAAAGGATTTTCCTTTGGCAAAGAGATTTCATTTTATTTTTATTAATGTTCCTTCACCCACACGCAGCATATATCTATATATATATATATATATATATATATATGCAGATATATATACAAATATTTTGCAAATTGATTTGTTAAGTTACTAAACTGAAAACTTTTTCAAAAAGCCAGCTGAGAACAAATTCATTGTCATTGTGTGTGCTGTTGACAATCTTCATATATATTTAATAAAATTTATAGCCTTAAGCTTGTTAAGAATATTTCTTAAATCTTCTTCTTATTTTAATAGATTACCAATAAACTGAAAGTAAACGAGAAAGTTGGAAAAATCAATTTAGGCTTAATCCAATCTTCTCTTCATGTCGTAGATAAAAAGTGTCAGTTAATTTAAATAAACTTATTGGTCACCGATTATCCTCGAATAAATCCGTACTTTTAAACATATAAATGTCAGAATTCATATTTTTTTTTAATGAACGTAACGTGATGAGTCACAGTCAAATATTTAAAAAACTTGTGGTTTTTAACTTGAATTCCAACGAATTTTTTTCACGATTATTCGTGAGACCTTAAGTACATATCAATTTATTTATAAATGTTCACTTTCACTAAATCTAAATGACTATTAATAAACTCATTGGCTTAAGTAAGATATGTAACAAAATAATTAAATTATTACTCTCTGCGGGAAAGATCTACAAGAGAAACCAATGTGGCCTTCAGCAAGTCTAGTAACAGCAAACACCATAGAAAATCATACAAACTAACAGAGTATTAAACCAGATAGAAAACCAAACACACACAAGAACAAATAATTTGGCAAAACATTAAGATAAATTATATAAAGGGACTATAATAAGTATGTACAAGGATGACAAATTCTACGAGTAAAGGAAACACTCACATGCTTTAGATAAATTACATAATTGACTGGATAAAGCGGACGAACTTAATAATGCCAAAAAAAATAATTTTTTTTAATTTCCATCACTCTCCTATAAACAAAATTTTCAGAGAAATTTAAACTGGCAGGTTTCTTTTTGAAAAGTAACAGTCAACTTATTGCATTGAACTGACATTTTTAACTTTAGTACACTCTGTTAAGAGAGAAACGCATATATTATATTAGAGTATAACTTTAATTATGTCAAGAGTCCTTTTATATGGAAAAGTTAGATTGAAAATAAATGATCATTAGAACGCACTTCGAAAAATGAAATTCAGCGGTGTATGGTACACAACACAAGAACGGTTGCTACAGTTTCGCAAATGTGAAACGTGAAACGTTGGAAAAGAAGCAAGACAAATCGCGGTAAGTTTATCTAACAAATTGATAGGCGTGGTAGAGGTAAAACTGGGTCCACGATAATCAAAACACTATAGATGCACTTTGTTAAATAATTTTGAATATCAATGAATTTTGATCCGAAACACAGTATAAATATTTCTTATAGACAGTAGGCAACAACTGAGGAAATCGTCTTCACCAAACTCACACGCCAGTATTTAATAACATTTTGCAATTATAATGTATCGGCGTAAAGCTGTCCCCTTGCAAGGCTTTGGCTAGGACAAGCTCGATTGGTCAGGTTTCTTTATGTAAAACTTAGTTAAATGCGGATAAAATAAAGGATTGCAAGACGATACACACACACGGACATAGGAGTACTCTTCGCCAATATCTTCACTTTAAATCGTCTAACGTGCATGTATATCCCGAGGATGGTGCAAGAAAGAACACATACTAGAGGTTTCTATATCCAAAACAGCCTTTTCAAAACATCCGACCCATTTCTAACGCTTAAAAGGATTACTAATATATATAAAAATAAATAAAAGATATAAAAATTTTAAAACTTACAGTGAAACACCACTTGCTGGAACCGCTTCAACAAAATTGATCTGACTCGAAGTTCTCGACCGAATTTTACTTTATTTAAGTTTTATGGCGAACGCTGTTTAATTAAGTTCTTATTTATCCACTGTGTTCTAGCATTTAAAGTATTTTACCAAATTTCTTTGCTTTTTGCATGCCTTCGAATTTACTTTTACCCGAAACTCCCGACCGAATTAAATTTCATTTAAGTTTCACTACGAACGCGGTGAAATTAAATTCTTATTATTTATCTACTACGTTTTAGGATTACAGATATTTTGCCACATTTCCTTGCTTTTTGTATGCCTTCATTACATATCGAATTATGTCTTTGCCAGATGTCTTGCAGATTTTGTCTATAATCGCTTCAACACATTTACTTCGACTCGAAATTCGCGACCGAATTAAACCTAATTTAATTTTCACTCCGAACGCGATTTAATTAAGTACGTATTACCGATAAATTACATTTTAAAATTTTACGATATGTTACTACATTTCATTGCTTCCTGTATGACTTCACTACATTTCCATTTATTTCTTTGTGATAAGTTCTTTTAGATTAACCAAAAAACGTCTATTAAATCGTTCGTGAACAACTCATATATCGGTTTTGGAGACACGCGGCAAAACCAAATTTATCTAAAAATCCACAAATGGAATTCACGCCCAACCAAATAAATAACGACTTGTTTAACAAAAAAGTTACTAGAAATTGTATTTTAAGTTGGCAATTATTGTTTTTACCTCATTTGCAATAATCTCAATCGCGATTGCCACTAGCCGTCCTTTCATTGTTACGCTGAACGATGCAATGGAAAATCGTCGAGAGTGCGGAAAATTTAATGAAACGCCCCGAATTACACTCTTTCAATTACGAAAACACTTTTTAATTAAGAAAAGTTTCAATTTTTTGATGCGCAAAACATTTCATCACGAACGCGATCAAACACGACAATAATATTAAACAGTCTTACACTATATCATATTCAATAAATCAAATTAGCGATTTATTATTTTTGGCAGCTTTGCGCGTTTATTATTACGATTTTTATATCATTTTGTTTAATTAATCACAGGATTGTTTCTTCCTTCGGACGGTTTTAATCTTTGCAAAGTTAAAGGCAAACGATAAGGAAAATGTGCAAATTACACATCATTTCTTTTAGTGGTATTACACAGCATGTTCCTTCTTTTTATACCCTACATGCTATGCTGTGCAGGGTATAAGAAATTTATGCCCATTTATTATACCCAGGAAGTACTAAGGCAGACCTACCAATTTTTATGTTAATTGATTCAAATCTAGGATTGTCCGCCGGTTGTCTGTCCGTCCGCTATTTAGTAAAATTTATTACTCCAAGCACTATATATTAAAAAGTTGACAAAAACGGTTTATAACCTTCTTCTAAATTATTTTAGCATTGCATTAATAAAACATTTTGGGTAAAATCCTCAAGTATGCAACAGAACTTTATTATAAAAGGCATACTTATCACATACAATGACATGGAGGGAATTTTTACATAGCTTTTCTAAAAAGAGATGTTTAACTACAAACTTTTTTACCCAATATTCGAATCTACTTGAATTTTTAATGCTCCATAATTTAAACACACATAACATACTTTTCGTAATCGCAGAAATTCATTTCATATACATGTGTGTGAATTCAAGCAATAATTCATGAAGTGCACGCAAAAACTTAATTATTTCAAAAGATGTCTTATGTCTTTACCGTATATATAAATTTCATGATATAATAATCGTTTAAACCAACTGAAATATGTTGAGTTTTACAAATCTTTGCGCTTTTAAGTTACCCACAAAATAAACGATTTTATTTAAACCCTCATCTCAACTTAGTAATAAGCACAAATAAATAGAGATAGGAAAGGTTATAAAATTTTAATAGATTAGGATTAGTATTAGAAACTGAAAGAATTTTAGGACTATAAAACGAACTTGTAGGGAATCTATCGCATGTTCTTTCAGATTAGAAGAGATCCATGTGCAACACATTTCCCATTTCTTTAAAACACACGCCAAAAACAAATTTATCTAAAAATCCACAAATGAAATTCGCGGCCAACCAAATAAATAACGATTTGTTTAACAAAGAAGTTACTAGAAATTGTATTTTAATCTTTGGGAGTTGGCAATTATTGTTTTTACCTCATTTACAAAAATCACAATCGCGTACCACTAAGCCGGTCTTTCATTGTTACGCTGAACGGTGCAATGGAAAATCGTCGACAGTACGGAAAATTTAATGAAACTCCCCGAATTGCACTCTTTTCATTACGAAAACACATTTTAATTTAGGAAAAGTTTCAATTTTTTGATGCACAAAAGATTTCATCACGAACGCGATCAAACACGACAATAATATTAAACAGTCTTACACTATATCATATTCAATAAATCAAATTAGCGATTTACTATTTTTGGCGGCTTTGGACGTTTATTGTAACGATTTTTTATCATTTTGTTTAGCTAATTGCAGGGTCGTTCGCTCTTTCCACAGTTTCACTATTTTCAAATTTAAACGCAAACAATTTGCAAAATGTGCAACATGTACGTAATATCTTTTGGTGATATGTACTCAAAACTAATATCTAAATAATATGCACTTTTTTTACTAACATTGTTACGAAGTTATTTAAATTTATCATTCCCATTTACTGCTTGATATAAGTGTATAAGGATGAGTGGGACATTTTGGAGGATTCAAGATAGATCACCTCTTTGGTGCGTGCAATCGTTTTCTGAATCGACCTGAGCTTGTCTGTTCACCTGCCCGCCTGATCTATTTATTTCTACATATTTTTGTGTTCAACGCATTTTGTGGAAATATTCGGCGAATTTTGCTGCACTACCGTGATTTAATCCAAATGTGAATTCTATTGAAAATTGGATTTTGCAGCCTTTTTCCAGCACATCAATTTCGCCACATTTTTTAAAAGTTCACACAAATAATCGCCTAGCAGCACCTAGCAACAAGCGCCATAATTCTCATACTGTTTCTGTCGGTTACTTTCTTATCGAAACTGCCATTGCAGAAAGAAGACAATTCAGACCCATTATATAAGATCTTGTTTACAGCACAAGAAATCTCACATTTAATTAGTGGATATTAACAAGATTTTTACTTATTTTCGTTTAAGATTTGTTATACATTTACTACGATACTTCGAAAATTAAAGACTGTTCCCAAAACTTGAATTTAAACCGTATAAAGCAAAACTTTTTGCTTACGTTATCGCTCTGAATTTACCTAATATTTTAAAATAACTAAAATTTAAATTTAAGTCTTTCCCCTCAATTCTCCATTATAGGCGGATGAATACAAATGGTTAGAAAGAGCTATAGCTACGGGACAGAGAATTACATAAATTTTATGTACTTTTCACGTCCAACCATGCACACACAAAGGTACATGGAAAGAGAAAACAAATCTGAAACTTTTAAATCATCTGTGATGATATGAAAGTGAAGAGTTACATAACTATTCTTTCATTGATAAAGTTATACAACTAAAGTTGTTGTTGACAAGGATGCTCGTGATGACGCAGCTAAAAATCTGGCCAACATTTTATATCACCAACCAACTTTCCGTCAACCATAATGCGAATGAACAAAGGACGCAGAATGCCAAAAAAAAAAAAAAAAATTGTAAAAGTAATTGTTTTCATTTCGTTGTTAAAGTAAAACACCCAGAAATTGAAAAATTGTGATCTCCAACTTAATGCATAGTTTTGCATAGATTTTTCGTTTCGAATTTACCTGAAGTCTGGCTATAGTATCAAAAAAGAAACTTATGCGAATTTAAAATATGCTACATCTGCATTTACCTCCAACTACATTATTTTTAGTGGTCTTTTGCAAAAATCCGCAAGCACTTTCCGTAAGCTCTAAGCTTACCATTAGGATTGAATGACATTTTGCATCGCTAATCTCCCTTTGAAAATGATTACATTTTGAAAATAATATTTAAAAGTTTTTACTTATAATATTTGTTTGATTGGTTGGTTGGCTTATTTGGAGCTCACTTTGAAATGCCTTCCATTTGTAGTTTCTCGAAAGTTTGTTTTTCCTCAAACCTACTTTTCTTTAAAAGCGACTGAAATTGCGAAACTTTTGTGATTTCTCATTTTTTTAGCTGAGATGAAGTGAGCACATTTCTACCGAAATTTTCATGTACATGTTTTAAACTGTCATTCTTTGACTTTTCGTTATTTTTCAAATTTGTATGAAACAATAATAATAATAAAATAGACTATGGTGGTGGGCACCAATGTTCGTAGCACCTAAACGCATGTTTTGCTTACAATTTTCATTTTCTTTAATAAGATTTATGGATATATTTTGTCACCATTGACAGCCTTACTAATTAACAGGGAATTGCAATAACGTAATCTGATAATATATCTGACGTTAACCAAAATATATGGTCCAGATATACGCAGACTCCAGAATTGGCACTAATGAGTACAAATTGGTTTCTGAGCGCAAAAGATTCGTCCTTCGCTGACTATGATGTTTATAAAATACCTAACATTGCCAACATTTTAAATACAGCAATCGCCACATGCGTGACATGTTCGCCTCTAATAATTTCTTCTTGCGTTCCTCAAGGCAATATCACAATCATGCTTATAACAGCTCAAGTTAAAGCTCAAGTTGAAGCTCTATCCACGTGCACAACATTGCAGCTTAATTTTCCCTACACGCTCACTTGCTAGTAAGCCTAGCTTAGCTACAACCGGTCAACACGTAACTAAGATGAGAGTCTTTCTGCGGACTCAATTCGCTTAACATGTTTCAAAGAACCACTAAGGCACTTATATGCCACATATTCTATGCACTTTACAAGCGTTATAACAGTGAACGATATACGAAATCGAGCAGACATTTGAAAAGATAGCTTTTTAGCTTTTGGGGACATATTTATGTGCCAATCTCTGTAATCGCTGTAATGGCGATGGATAACATAAATGTATGAAATTAATCCAAGTGTAATCTGTAATCCTTTTTTCGTTACTGCAGTTTTCTTAAGCCAGTACTTTCGAAAATATATCATGCAATAAAATCGCTTTAAATGTTTCGAGTATAAGATGTGTGACCGACTATTTAATAGATTGGTGAAGAGCTGTCAGGGCCCCGCCAAAAAAATTTTAAACTTCATGTGTTAGTCCTATTCAAATCACTGTTGACGAAGGCATTCGGCGCGTCAGTTATATTTACGCTAAACGCATGCTGTTAAACTGTCGTTTTGTGGAACCGAATCGGACTTTATATACACGTGGCCGGATCAGAACAATTATTATTTTTGACAGTTGCTATTATGTAATAATAAGGAGACTTAAACCGTAAGATGGGAACCACTGCATGGCAAACGTGACGTTACAATTAATATATATTTTTTAAACACTTAAGTTGAATAAAACTATCAACAAAAAAAGTAAAAGGAAAAAAAGAAGAAGAAGGCAAGAAAAGTGATAAAAAAGTACAAAAACGACGGCGCTGTAAAGTATTTCGTAGAAACGTACATTTTTTTTTAAATTGAATTCAAAAGTGATATTTATTTTGTCGCGATTGAAAATGGATGCCAAATTTTGGAACATCATTGTCATGGGTTTCGGTTACATGTTGATTTTTACCGCTTTCCAAACTCTTGGAAATATTGAAAAAAACTTACTTGCCAGTCTAGCTGAAGAGGATAAAACTTTCAGCGGCGACGGTTTCATTAGCCTTGCTAGCATTTACGTTGTATTCGCCTTCGCCAATTGGTTGGCACCGTCAGTTTTAGCAGTTACTGGTCCTAGGATATCTATCATCTCTGCATCGCTATTTTTTTCGCTTTTCACCTTCATATTTTTTTTCACCTCTACCTGGCTGCTATATACTGTTGGTGTTTTATTGGGTATTGCGGCCGCGGTGGTCTGGACTGCTCAAGGAGTAATTTTGTCTCGGTGTAGTGATTCGGATACCATAGCCCGTAACTCGGGCCTCTTTTGGGTAATGTATGAACTTAGTTTCATCTTCGGCAACATGTTGGTGATCTATGAATTTCGGAACAAAAAACATATCGATGCCAATGCACGGAGGGAGGTCGTCTGGTTTCTGACTGCCTCCTCAATTCTTGGAACCCTAAGTTTATTCGCCTTGCGAAATGTTCCCAAAGATACGTTTAACTCTGACGAAGAGCTACAGCAACCGGAACTTTCTTTCCTGGGTAGAGCATGGTTTGCTTTTCGAACGGCCGTGCAACTATTCGTGACACGCGATATGCTGCTCCTAAATGTGACATTTATTTATACAGGTCTATTGACGACTTTCGTAACCGGTCTTTACGGAGCGATAGTGGGATTTACGAAGAAACTCGCTACTAAAGACATTATCGGGATGGTCGGTATTTGTATTGGCGCTGGTGAAGTGTTTGGAGGTTGCGCTGCCACCTATTTCGCTCCTAAAATAATACGATATGCCATCGATGTTATAATTCTCACTGGCTACGGATTGCATATGTTTTCCTTTGCCCTAGTAATGCTGAACTTACCCAATAAAGCTCCTTTCGCTGATACTGACGACGTTTCATTTATTGATCCGCCACGAGTCTGGATAGCCTTACTGTGCGCTTTTCTTACCGGCGTAGGTGATGCCTGCATTCATATTCAAATATATTCGCTACTGGGCGTCATCTACGCAAATCAATCAGCAGAAGCCTTTGCCATATTTACATTTGTGGATTCGTTGTCGGCGTCTATTGCCTTCTTTTACGCGATTGCTCTAGGCTTATACGGTCAAGTAGCAATTTTGATGCTCTTTAGCACGTTAGGTTCATTCACAATTTGTTTCTTGAAGTGGAACTTAAAGCGACTGCAAAGCGTTAATATGACACCGTGAAATATTAAAATTAAGCACTAAGTTGATATGTAAATGATTTTAATTATAATATGTAGTAATAAATGAAGCAATGGTTTATTGAATTTCGATTGGATAGAGCGTCAAGTGACTATTGAGTTCTGTCTGATAATTTGTTGAAGCTAGTGCTTGTGCAAAAGAGCGCTTCTCCGTCTGTTTAAATGAAACAATGGATAAATTTAAACGGCGCATATACAGCCGTGGACACATGAAGAGCGCAGTTTTCGCAGTAGTAAGTAGGTGAACAGCAAAAAGTTATTCACATTAAAAAACCATAAGCATATCTTATATCACATATATGTACATCAAGTTGGTTATGTTCTACTAAAATGATATTGTCCCTCAAATAACGGTTAACTAAATCCAAGTCGCGCTTCGAAGCGTTGCAATCAGGAGAACAAAATTCGCTTGCTCTCATAATCTAATGACGGGTATAATTATTATATGAAAGCAAATTTTAATGACGCACGTTATCGCTTTAGATATCAAAAAGGCATAATTAGTTGGATATTCATAAATTTGCTTTATTTGGTAACGTAATTGGCCACATTAATAATCGACTTTGCCCCCCCTCCCCCGTCAATGTGTTTTAATAAGCTTCGAAGAAGACTGCGAAACGAAGAAAGTAATAAAAAGAATAACCGATAATTTCCTAAAGCAAAGTAAGACTTTATAGCATTTGTTTACCCCCAAGGCAAATAGACCGTGCATTTCAAAAATGACCCAAGTCCTGTCGCACAGAAAATCCTGTTAGAGTAAAGTAAGAAAAATGTAACACATTTAAAGGGGACATAGGACATAAGGAAGACAATAAATATTTTAATTTTAAAGTAAATGGGTTTAGGTTACTTTGCAAAGGAATGGCTCAAATGCGGATTACTTGAAAACGTAGTCAAGCCAAATGATTAACTGAGGACCCATCTTATCATTTTTTTTTTCAATCTTTTTCTTAAACAAACACATCATCATTCTGGACTGTGTGTACGCAAATATACATTTGTACATATACAAGCAAATTAAACTAATGAATTAGCAAATTTGACCAAATAAGAAAACGAAAAAATAACAAAACAAGTAAAATAAGTGTAGAACTTTTGAACGGAAATCTTTAGAAGCGCGCATTAAAGCAACTACAAACTAATTGAACATGAAAATGGAGTGCATCCAGCAAAGCAAAAGTCGGAAATTGTGAAAGGATTAAAAAAAATAGTTAAGTAGAAAAGAAGACGAAAGAGGAAAGAAATCCCTGAAGACCTTAGCAATAATTGTAGCTGTTATTACTGATGTTAGTGTGGCTGAAATGAATTTTTCCAATAAGACATAACAAAACGGAAGTTGTCATCTACGCCTTGGGAGAATAGCGGTGCGTTTTATTTTCTGCGTTTTAATTTTTGATTATATCAGTTTTTTATTTCTAGTTTCGAGCTCTTCTATGTTCCTAGCAGGAGTTTACTTTTATCTTTCACTACACACTTACTCTAAAATAAATAAAAAACTATTTCTCTTCCATGACTCTACACCGTTTCTTCAAAATATGTCAATATGTGTAAAAATTTTAGCAAACGTTTATGAAAATGCGAACTGCAAGCTGCGTCTGAAGCGTCTCAAGCCGCAAAAACGTGCATGTAACAGCTGTTTCCGTTTGTTATCTTTGCCGCTGCACATTGGTTATGTTCTTTGAATACTCTCACTACGCATTTGTTGTAAATTAGAAAATTGACACTTTTATCGTCGGTAGCACACTCGCAAAATGCAACGTTCAGTTACATTACATGGCCCATGTCAAAATACAATACAAAGAAATGCCAATCAATTTATGTAGTGCTTTGCAACAACAAATGCAACGGCTTGGTTTCATAATCTCTCAGAGGTTTGCTAAACCGAATCAGGAATTCATAAAGAGAATGACATTTAAAAGAAAGAAAGAGAAAGAGAGAGGGAGAGAGAGAGAGAGAAAGAAAGAAAGAGAGAAAGAAAGAAAGAGAGAGAGATCCAGTAACGACCCTAAATAATATTAACCCTGGCTGCGGCTTCGCCAGCTAATAATAATACACAAGAATGCTAATTGAAATGATTTGGACGATTTTCATTAAAGTTCTCAAAGTAATTAGAAGGAAAATACATTCGCAGTAGACTGAGTCCTAGGCATAGTTATAGGAAACAATAATGTATAGACTTCGATGCAGAGGTCAATCCCAACCTGCTAGGGTCTTCATAATATTAAAGTACGTTTTATTTTCAGAAGGCGTAAGAGGTACTGAAAGATTTTGACTTTAACTGGCAACATCTTTTTCGGATAATTAGTCCTGCACACACACAAGTAATTACATTTGAAGTGTGTTTACGACAAGAATTCGTTTGTAGTTTCTTTTTTTTTTTCCTTATTTGAAGTGACTAATCCAAGAGTGACGTTGAGGCGTGGAAATTAAATTAATTAGCAGAAAATTTGAAAAATCTATTTTAACAATATTTTGATCCGCGCTGATAACCGTTTGCTATGGCTTCGCTCTTATCAAATACCAAAATAGGCCATTCGGTAGCACTTAAGCACAGAAAAAAAAAACTTAAGCAAAATTTAAATATTGTTTTCATTATATATACATATATGCATATATATATGCAACTGATAACACATAGCCGGCATATATAAATCTAAGAAATTTCCATTTTTGCTTTAAAACTCTTTCATACGCCTTAGATTAAGAAAGTGTTGCTAAACTGACATAGGCAATAAAAAGTGTGTGCAAGTTTGTGTGTGTCTGTGACAGGAGAATATAACACAAAACATGTCAGACAGCAAAAGTTAGTAAAACAACTGGGACAAGTTTTTCGTTGCTTTTTTTTCGTATCAATTTTAAGTGTGTCTGTTTGTTTGCATGCATCGTATTGCATTGAAGGAAATTCAATAAGAAAAAATGGGAAAAATGAATAAGAAGAAACGAATACATATGCATGCATATATGTTTTTTTACGCACGCACTACTAAAATACTTTCTAATAGAACCACTTTAATCCTTCAGAGCTTACCATTGCTTTGCTACAGCTACCAGTTTGTAACGATGTGGCCACAAATGTGGATAATGCTGTGAAAGCGATTACCGAAGCAAAACTGAAAAATCCAAATCTCCAATTAGCCGTACTCCCCGAAGGCTTCAACGCACCGTACGCCATTGAATATTTTTCGAAATATGCTGAGAAAATACCTGAGGGGCAAACGTGCCAAGTGCTGTCGCAACTGGCGTATAGTTTGAAAATTTACATAATCGGTGGCAGTATAATTGAGCGTGTCGAGCCAGATAAGTTGTATAACACATGCACAGTGTGGTCTCCGTCAGGCAAACTTATAGGACGTCATCGCAAGGTGGAAACGATGAAATGTTAAAATTTATTTTCTTTTAATTATCGATTGTTCTTGTGACCCCGTTTCGCATTAGATTCATTTGTTTCACATTGACATTGATGTCGAGAATGAAGGTGGCGCTTACTTCAATGAAGGCCTAGCTTTAACGGCTGGGAACGATCTCACTATAGTCGATATTGCCGGCCATAAAGTGGGTCTTGGTATTTGTCATGACAAACGGTTCGAGGAGCTTGCACGTGCTTATCGCAATCTAGGTAAAGAACGTATTTAGCAATGCCTAACTTGCAACTTTAACGCTGTGTCATACTTGCAGGCTGCGAAATGTTAATTTATCCGTCGGCCTTTTGCATTTGCCAGGGCCCCATGCATTGGGAGCTATTGCAGCGCGCTCGTGCCAGCGATAATCAATTATTTGTTGCCACATGTTCACCAGCTCGCGACAACAAATCTGGCTATGTCGCTTACGGCCATTCAATGATTGTCGATCCGTGGGGACGTGTTCAACGTGAAGCCGGCGCCACCCGCCAACTGATAATCGATGATATCGGTAAGTCCATCCGCCTGCCAGTTACAATATTAAATAATATAAACGCATATACATTCTGCTCTACAGATTTCAGTATGGTCGATGCTGTGCGGCGCCAAATACCAATATTCCCACAACGTCGCACCGATATTTATAACACGCAACTCATAAAACAATAACAACAATTATTATGGTTTACATAAGTGAATTTTGAGCGAATTAATGTCCTGGTGTATGTGTGCGCATATTTGTGTATTTGTGAAAAAATCATTTCAAATTATTTTGAATACAGATGGCGAACATTACAATAATCATTATCTTTTTATGAATGTCATAAAATTACATTTTTTTTTTAATAAAATATGTGCTCGCGTATCCATATCTTTGTTTTGCTTGAATAGCGTATGTAATTGAAAATTTATCAATTTCATTAATATGCGCTGTTTTTATTCAATACTTTGCGCAATATAATCATCACCGACAGCGGCGATGACACAATTACGCACGTGTTTGATATATAAAATCATTCGACTCGTAAAGACTTGTTCCGTATATTAATAATAATTAGCACAAGAATGGAACCTAAATTTTGAAATCATTAGGCAACAAAATTCCGGAGAGAAAAGGATAGGCCGAAATGTCAGACATATTCTAGCAAGGCTTCTGCTTTGAGGTACAGAAATGCTTCTTTAACAAATTGCTGATAGTTTATAGGTACGTGTAATATCAAAGTCACACCTGTCACTCTTTGAAAGATTGTTAATCAGTGAGTACATGTGTACGTGCATAGTAAAAGTATATATCGCTGATTTGATTAAGTGGTCATTTTAAAGTGTAGCATCGTTTTCACGCTTGCACAAATTCGCGAGCAAATGCCGATTCTTAGCTGCCTATATCGTGACCGTTCAAACAACAGAGAACATAGAACGGCGAACGGCGAACATGATAAATTCAATTTCTAATCTAACGATAATTTATATGCTCTCAAATTATCAATTTTCATCGCGAAATCTCTCGAAATACTTCAAATCCGATTTTTCAATGAAATCTCGCATTCAATGAACTTCTCTTCTTTCCTAATCCACAGTTCTTCGTAGAGATGATTAAAGAGCGAACGCGTACGTAAGCCGATAGACAAACGAATGCTTCTCGTATACTATAGCGTTATCAAAATCTTGAGACTTAATCGTAAATGAAAAGATTACCACAGATTCTTTCCACGAAATTAATGAAATTTTATTTTAAAGTAATCGCTCTTCGTAGATTGTGTGCAGTTCGGACTAAAATTTTAAAGATTATACACTAAGAAATCAAAAAAAAAAAAGATGCGAATGCAAAAGTAAAATACTCCACAAGAACTAAAGTCAAAGTTATTAATAGGAGGAAAACAACAACAATAACAACAACGCGACATAACGTGCTTTATGTGCTTCTGTGACTTGAATTAGCTCATTGAATCTTTGTTTGTTTATGGTAACGTTTACCGTTATCATGCCGTGGCGTTGGTTCTCATATGCATTATGGAGATTGTTTTGAGATCAACAAAATCATGCGAAACGCTGTTCGCACACAATATAGGACTTTTCTCGTTTCTGATAATTATGGCAAATGTATCGCCATATGCTGCGGAAGCGCAATATCGTCCCTATTATCCTCATCAGCATAGAAATATCTCATATATGCACCGCTTGTCAGAGTTTCACAAACAAGAATTGCACAATATAGCCATACGCTTGGAACATTCAATAGACACCGACAAGTATGTCTGTGATGGTTACTTTGATTACGTATGTGGTCGTAATCGGCCATTATTTTCCATTTTGGGTAAGTACATGTTTATGCGTTGTTCACGGAACAATATGCTGCACATAACCAATAATGCAAAGAACTGAATAGATTAGGAAAAGTAGTCCTCACACACAAATGAAGACCTTAAAAATGATACAACTTAACAAAGAGTCAGCCTACTTTGCTTAACGTTACTAAAGGATTAAAGGATAAATGTAATGAGACCTTATTGTACGAGTATAGTACGTTACATGCTACTTTCCTGAGTGTTTGATAGGTTTGGGAGATTACACATAATTCGTAATTAAATTTTGGTACGTACGTGTTGGTTCCTTGAGAGTTCTTCAGAGCCACTAACAAGATTTGCTGTTATTAATAACGATTAACCAAATGATGAACAACAAATTTGCAAAACTTTTTTAATTAAAAGAATCGTAAATCATAAGATAAGTAAGTAGTGTATTATGAACAGTGGACTATTTCTGTCAATCAAAATAATGCGGGGCATGCGGAGCAATCCTACTGCAGAAAACTGGAAAGCAGAAAGAATTGTCCTAAGCATGTAGGAGCAACGATAGAATTTGCAAACTTGCGCAGTTACATTTTTTAATATTGCGCGGTTGCGCTTGCACTATACTGATTTCGTTGTTTAATCGAGCAATCGATAAGAATTAACACGAAATTGTTCGGATTGCGCGAACTGAATCATCAAACAATCCTTGTTTCTGTTGATCTTCAGCTGATTTAAAGGGGCGTGTATAGTTTGGTATCTCGAAAATAATAAATTGTCAAGGGCCAAGATCCTTTTTCATTGTAGGTTTACAATGTCTTTCAAGGAGCTAGATTAGGACAGCTCTAAGCCAGCTGCAGCTGGATACAGTCCCGTCTGAAAATTATTGTTTCGATAGATCAGCACAATTGCCGAATTATGCTAGTTTACAAGCCGACGCAAGCGACACAAAATACCATCAACGAAGACGTAGAATTCAGAGAAGCAACAAGAAATAAACCCATCGATCATAGTGTCAAAAACTAAAGCTAAATATTAACGGAGCTTCAAAATATGTATTATATAAACTAAAATCTAAAAATTTTGCCAATGTTACAGGTCATCTGCCTCATTCCGGCGAACTAATACTCCTTCTAAAGCAACTGCAAGAAGATCATGAGCAATTTGAAGCCAAAAAAAAACTTTTTGATTTCTTCATCTCCTGCAATAGTGTCAAATCTTTGGACGATTGCTATTATGAATCGTTTGAATACTTCAAGCCTCTATTCGGTTACATTATCACGAAAAAGTATATAAACAGTAACTCGTACGACGTCAAAAATTTTGTGGAAATATTGGATCGATTTTTAACAAAAGTGAAGAGCACGCAAACCACTTCACGTGATGTAATACGCATTAAATTGGCGACATTGAAGGAGAAATTTCGCATGCCGCAGATATATTTCAGAGCCAATGACTTAAACTATGAGTATCGGGAATTGAGCATCTATCGGAAAAGCTATAAACATAACATTAAAAATTTAGAATTATATCGTAAAACGAACTCGACCTATGAGTATGGCGTGCAACGTACTATGTTAGATTGGTCTTTGTACTTATATCAAAGCCGTAATAAACCGATGTCATATTTTTATGCTACACTCAACGTGCACTTATGGATGACTTTATACAATAGTACGGAACGACAGCAGACTCTAGAAGTTGGAGGTCTTCAGCGACTTCTAGAAATTGGTGAATGCTTGAAATTACCGCAATTTGTTAATGTATTAGACGAGGCCCGTATCTTGGCTGTTGTCTATTTAAAAAGTTTCCGTAACGCCTGGGAAGGCTACCGAGATTGGATTACCGCTAGCACCGAACATCAAGAAATTTACGACGAGGAGAATGAAATTCTCGAGAAATATCGCTTAAATAACAAGCGATTATTTTTTACGTTGTACGCACAAAATTTTTGTGAGTTCGGACGTGATCTCGCCGAGAATGTCTTTTATTTAGGCTTAAAACAAAATCAAGATTTTTTTAAAATTTACTCATGCAATTATAAACCCGAGAGCTTTCTAGACTGCCTATGAATAAAACACTTTTTTCATTTAAGAAATGATTTAAATTAATTTTCATTCTCTTTGCCATCCTCGCTGTTCAGTAAACAGAATTTTTCAAAATATTCTTGAGCTTCAGTGTGACCATACAAACGCGCCAAGTCAAGACAAGTTAAATCAAACATATCCTGCGCTTTCGTATTAGCACCGTACGTTATTAGCAACTCGAAAATGCTGAGACCAGCATTCATAACCACTGCAATAAAACGCACACGCATTTGCGAACATAGCATATGGGAGAAGAAGTGATTTTTGAAATTTAATCCGCTTTATATAACCTACCGGAGCGCATTAACAGTGTCCAACCGCAAGCATCTCTGGCCTCTACGTTAGCACCATTTTCTAAAGCAAATTTCAAAAGCCTTTCTTGATTCGCATCGATAGCCAAATGACAGGCAGTTAAACCGTATATGTCTCTGGCCTCCATATCGGCTTTCAGGTTAAGCAACACACGTGCCACAGATAAACGACCATAGTAAAAAGCAACCTGTACACGATTAACAGGCGAGGAACGGGAAAAGAAGGAAATTGTGAAAAACAACAATTAATGGAATTTTGTCGACAACAGCTATAGATAAAAACATACAACATTCGACGTCTAATTAAGTGAAGAGCGGATTAAGCAAGAAACATATAATAAAAAAATGAGTATTCAATGAACGCAATAATCACTACTACTATTTGTAATGATATATGTGCATGATAATAAGCGACTTAAAGCACTTAACTCAGCACTAAAGTTGGAATTTATATTGAATATCTTTCTGTTCGTATTACTTACGTGTAAGGGTGTGCGTTTGTTATCTAAATTGCCGATATGAACGCTGGCACCAATTGTAAGCAAATAATCGGCAATGCACGTTTCGCCGTACGCTATGGCATTGCAAAGCGGCAAGTAACCATTCGGTCCGGGGTATTCAATAAGGTTGGGGCGACGGCGCAATAAACGTTTCACCAGAAACTGTTGGCTCTTCTTGAGAGCGCGATGCAAGGCCAGGGTAGAGGGCAAATCCGCTAAAGTACAAGCCTTCCGAGAGGGAGAAAATATCAGAAAAACCACAATTTTTTATAGACAAATTTGTGATCTTCATAAAGGCAGTTACCACAATCTCTGGTGAGGTATTAATGATGGCGTAGTGAGATTTACTCTCATCGCACTTTAAAGCCTGCACGCGTAATAAATAACCGAAGTTCTCCTCCAAATCGTGAATAACGTAGTTGTCCGTACTAGTCCTGCGAAGGAATGAGTTTAAGCTTAAAATTTTTAAAAATTATTTTCATTAATTGTTCATCACAACGTACCATCCGGTTTTCTCCCACCCTTTGTACTTGTGATGTTTCTCAACCTTGTAAACTTCAGCATCTCGCAATAAATTCCATTTGACTGTAGCGCTATTAAATGTCGTACCGATTACTTCCGCATTGAATTCTCTATCAAGCTTGTCGCTTTCTTGGCCATTGTATGTCATTTTCCCAATTTTGCATTTAAGGACGTTCCTCCTTTCCGATTGCTATACCATTTATTGTCAATACAGCGAACGGTATGTGTTTCGCATCGCATTCAAGAGTACGACAATGCCATTGATTTTCAATAATAATATCGCGCGCGTCGTTGTTCATACACCCCTTCGCCCGCAGAGAATCGTTACAAATCTTTTTGGTGTGCTGTTTGTTTTGTCTATAAACAATTTCTTTTTTGTTACTATGGTACTACGGCTTTTATGTGAGTGCGTGATTGCAATTATATAAAATGTATAAATTTTCATTTCGTGGCTTTGCCTTTATGTTCCTTTTATTATGATGAAGCATATCTTTGAAGCATTCACTTACAATTCTGCACAATGGAGCTTTTACTTTCCCGACTAGAAGCGTTTGTTTAATCGCCTTCTTGAGAAAGTTGTTGTCTCAAATTTATGTACTAAGAAAGACAATGAGATGGATGGTAGTCCTGATTTCATCATTGGTCTCCACAGGCAGTGCTACATTGCATTTGTGTAGAGTATAGATGGCTTCATCCCCTTACCCGCTTTGAGAATCTGAAAATTAAATTAAAATAAATTAAATTAAAATAGATTTGTAGGAAATTAAATCGGTTAATTACATCAAGTCACTATACAACTGCTGTCTCTAATTGGATATAAAGTTATTAGAAACAATCGTCTTCCCGTCATATCTAAATAAATATTTCGTGCATGCACTTTAGTTATGCGGTAAAGGTCCTTTCGAAAAGTCCTATTCTTCGTATTCATGATTACTTCACAATTACTGACAGCTCTTCCAGAATGAAGCGAATGAAAGCTATACTGCATTATCTCAATAATCGCCAAGGATTTCTGTTCGCTATGTCATCTTTGGTCACCACTTCCATGTTTCAAATATTTGGATCAAATTTAAACGTAATGGATATAGCCGATGCGATCGGCTTATGCTCTTGTGGCAATTCTATTTACTTCCGGGTAATACTATTTTAAATAAAGCTTTGACGTGATAAGAACGATCTTCTCAGATAGATTGTCGAATCGAGTATCGAATTATTCCCGTTACTCCAGAGTTCTATATATGCATGGAATACAATCGCCTTGATTGATTGAAGGATTGAAGGAATTTTCAAGTGGTCTTGGGAAAAAGCGCATGAAACAAAAGTAAATACATAAAGATACTGAAAGAGCAAAAGGAAAATTGCTGCAAACTATTGCTCGTGGGCTAGAATAAGTCTGCAACGGAATATTACGACAAGAAACGTTGTATGGAAACAAAATATGCAATAAAAATGTTATGATTATTAAATTGAAAAATAAAAATGGCATAAAATGTTTTCTAATTACGACATCTGGTTTAGATAAGGGAGAGCACTTTAGCGCTTTAATAGGATTAAATATTTTGTTTATGGAATTTTATGACATCCTTACGTTCAACGCATTAGCAATCCTGTACTTGGAGCGACAAATGCAAGCGTCGAACGTGTTATGAACAAGGGATTGACGAATGACTCGCTCCGAGATGACTGCGTCTCGGCTTCTTAATATTATTATTTCAAGTTTTCAGTTTCAAAATTTTCTTTTCTTCTCTTTTTTTTTTTTTTTTGTTTCCTTGGAGCACTTTGTGCTTCATGTTATTTCAATATGAACATATTGCACTTTATATTGTACTCGCTTTTATTAAATTTAAAATGCACGCACCAAGTGCATCTTTTAACAAGTTCATATATGATGTGAAAAGCTTCTTTAGACACTGCTACTCTATTATAAATAATTTTGTTGCATAAATGCATGAAGCGCACAACTCGTTGCACGAATGTTTCATCTGCTCTACACCATGCACTTAAACCGCATGGAAGGAGTAACTTCGTATGTCGATCTACAGTAACGTTTCTATCTTTCCTCCTTTACCAGCCTCCTTTATCAGCCTAACATATTCCTGATACAATTCCAATCATCATTTTTTAAAGCAGTCATCTTTTAAAGAGTGAAGATCAAGGCTGATAGGGTGTGTATCTGAATTAGGATTTGCTCAGACTTGCCAAGTAGTTTGCCATTAGAACAACAATCCACTCAAGCACTTAACAATATAAACCATTACCCCTTTGGTTTCACCCTTTTGACCCCTTTCTCCTTCAATAAAAAATTTTTCAGGCACTTTGTTGCACTTTGTTGTTTTTTTTTTTTTTTTTTTGTTCAGTGGGATTTCATTGGCGGTTCATATACCCGACTGCTATAATAAAAAATGAACTCAGTGAATTGTAAAAAAGCAAAACTTAACTTCAAATAGACATTCATGCGAGTCTTGTTTTCAGCTTTTACGAAATGTTAAACCTAAACATCAAAGTATATACCAATGGATAAAAGAAAAGTAAAATGTCTGCAGATATTAAACTTGAAATTAAAATGCTTTAAAAAAAAAAGAAAGACAATTAAAAATATTTTATTTCGCAAAGAAGGGAAAAAATTCAAGCCATAAACAATGCAAAGAGAGAAACCACTTTGGGAATAGAGTAGTCGGTCAAAATCGATAGTCAACCGCTCCAAAAAGTATGTTCTTAAATCATTCTAATATTAAGGCATTTTATTACAGCAATTAAAATCGTCCCTGAAAGCGACATTCATTCGATTGTGGGCTCAATTTTAACGCGACGTCCATTGGGTAGTCTTGTTTTCTCTTCATCTCTTCTAGCGGCTTCTAAAGGGTACATACATGATATCTTAGGGTATAGTAAGCAATATTAAAAATTATTTTAATAAAATTTTAATTATTCAATAGATTGTATTAGTGTTATATACGACATGGCCGCTTTTAAAATCTGCAAAAAAAAACAACAACAAAAATATTAAATAAAAGCGAATATCAGACCTTTATACAAATTAAACGAAGGAATATTTTATATATTTTCCTAATTACCGCCATAAAGTTGGCTAAAGATGCTTCATAAAAGCCGGCCTTTATAATGGCTTCACGTTGCGAACGCAGCATTAACAAACACAACATGCGACGATGAGATGGCTTCAAATTATACCAATGAGAAATTTGCACTGAAACACCGACCCTAAGACTCTAAATGGGAAAGAAAACAGTACAATAGTGGAGAACGAAATAGAAATAAAGAAAGATTCTCTAGCAAGCAGGAAAGCAGGCAACGCAATGAAAGTGTGCACACGTACCTCCAGTTTCAATATCTCGCCTCCGTAACAATAGATGAATAACTGCAGTAAGATTGAGCAAAGGAATAGACAATTTTTTAAAAAGATGTGCTGCGCGTTAATGTGCTGAAAAACTCGACCATTATTAATGCACTTAAGCGTTTACTTGAAATGCACTTACGGTGACCATTTGATAGACTATAACGCAAACTTGCAACGAGGTCATTAGAAATTGTGCGAAAATAATTGGTCGATAAATATCGCGCAATTTAAAAGCTAAACTTAGTATCTTGTTATGATATCCTACGCAGGAGGATAGGTCTCGTTGTAGTTGCCTTTCGGATTTTAAAAAATTGTTTGTTTCAATAACGCTCTGCAAGGCTATAAAATGCGCCTTCAAATTAATCGTGTATCCTATGAAGAGGCCATCTATGGCGACAGCATACGCGATTACCACCAATGTAGTCAGACCCGTATAAATATAACAAAATTGATAGCCTGGTGTAGATTCGAAATCAAAAGAAAATCTACAACTAAGCATTAGTAAAATTCTGAGTCGTTTCTGTGTTTGCGAAACCGATATTTACCGCATTGGCATCGGTAGCTCGAATGAGACATCCATGTCTTTCAGCTTTGACCAAATAATCTTCAAAATGGGTGTGGTCATAAAGTACAAACCGGTACAGCAACACGAGTTCCAATACATTCTGGTTAAGTTTCTCGCGTAGTCATTGTCACGTTTTAATTTCACTTTAATTTCCGCTTTTCGCACTGGAAAAGCAAAGAAAAACTATTTTTAAATTTTATTCGGCCCTTAGAAGTAAGCTGCGAAATGAATGAAAATAAATTTCATTAAAAACTTAGTATTGTGTTTATAGCGATATGTGTGTATGTGTATGTTGTAAACAAAAAATATGCTAAGCAAGTGCAGTACGACAGATATGCTGTCAAAGCTGAAGTGATGTAACGTACAACAATGTACAGCCAAACACACACAAATAGCACACAATTTTTAAACGGAATATAACAAAATTCTAAAGTGTTTGAGTACTTGAAAGAGGCCAGTTCACACATTAGAAACATGGGGAAACACTGTTGTGGAACACGGCTCACCATTAGACACCCTACACTACTTTGCTTAATACACTTATTGATATGAAGAGATTGCAAAATAAGGTGTTTTATGGGGTGTGGTCGAAAAACTAGATTTCGTCGAAATAGCAAATTTTCTCAAAATATCTCAAAAATTGTGATCTCTAGATTGAACAAGACAAGACACTAAGGGCAGACTGACAGACAGATAAACAATCTTACATCGGTTCGGAATCACTTTCAGAATCGATATAATAAAAGGTGGATCTATCTCAAACGCTTTTACATGTTGCATACGTGTGCACAAGCCTATTCGCGCTTGTACCACGATTGGTGTAGGGTATAACAATATCAAAGATAGAAAAATTCTTTAGATATAATAATAGTTTGAGAGAAATTTGAGGTAAGTAGTAGCAATAAAATATTTAAAGATCAATTGTTTTCCTTCGCTACGAGCCATACTTTCACCGAGCTTCCGCGTGATGCAATTATTCACACTTTGTTTTTCAAAAATGATCAAAAAATTATTTAAGGAAAATGACTTGGAATGCATTGATTAGTTTTCCTTAATTCAATTCACGAAAATTACTCATAAGTTCTTTCCAGCAAGCAACACATCAGGAAGTCGCTCAGGACTAACAGAACGTAACGCTTACTAAGTGTAAATACTGAGACTAATGAATAAACATTTTAGTCCCAGATAGTCATGTTAATCGAACAAAAAAAAAAAAAAAGAGAAGAAATTGAAATCAATTTTCTTATTCCAAACGAGACCAAGACTCAAGGAGACAAATAAAAATTACAGAGTCTCTGAAGTGTTTACCTACGCATTGCATATATTTGCAAAAATTAATTTAAGTTTTCCTTTACACCCAACCACTGACACAAATCTTGTGAGTCTTTCTTGCTCACGTCTTATTATTTGATTATAAAGCTACCTTCGTAGTACATTTCCTCCAGTTCCTCCATCAATGCGGCAAACTCCCATTTATAAAGAAGAAATGTTATTATCTTGACGGTGGTCAATATGTTGGTGAAGCATATGCTAAGACTTGCCGTTGCCAACTCCACATGGTCGATATAATAAATTGTGTAATTTATCATTGGCACTTGGGCCGACACCACCAGGAACAGACATAGTATGTATTTGTATGTACATCTTGTGTTGTGCCACCGCCGGCTTTGTTGTGATCTATCACGTACAAAATTATGCCCCATTACACGCAAACAAAACCTTTGTCGTTCAAATAAGTCAATCATGTTCAATTTAGACAACTTTCACGTACAATAAACCCGCTAAAGAATTTGTTGCGTTTTCTTTCGATGTCGCCGGTATATCAACTATTCCTTTCTCAGTTTGCCATTGATACACAATACTTGTTGTGATTGAAAGCTAAGTATTTATTGTTTGATTAATTATGTGTTTCGTTACTGCTCTAAAGCCAGTGATTATTATCAAATTGACAGGTAGAGGTTTATGAAAATAAAATGTTTGGATTGTTGTTAATTTAGTGGTCGTCAGCACATTCGCCTCCGACGATAAAATAATAACTAAAAAAAAGTGTGTAATTAAAATTCCAACCGTTATTCCAAATTTTTTCACACTGAATATTTGCACACCGTTTTACATTCAAATGAGTTTCTTCTGAAGAATATAAGAAACAATTCACCACGAAACATGATGATTGAGTGGCATGGGCTAATTAGACATCAAATTAAAGAAAAGTTAGGAGACTTATATATATAAGAACAAATCCAATAAAAACCCATCAAAGACATTTATCGAATTGATAAAATTGGAGGCAAATATTCATTGTGTACACTGCCATGCGAATCCGAGGATACCGCCCGGCCTATTCCCGTAGTGGAAGCTCCACCAATCCCATCACTAATGTGGGAGCTATGATCCAAAGAATCTATCGAAGCCGTGCGTTCATCGCCAACTTGAGCGTGGCTGTCACCTAAAGCTTCGAATTTAGTTTTAATATACTCTTGGGCATTGGCAGCTTCCTCATCGGTTTTGTATTTAATGAAAACAACCTGTGGTTTCGTCGTAGTCGTGGGTTTTTCTAAAATTTCCGCATGTATTTCGGCCGCTTCCGCTTTCTTGTTTAAAACATAAATAATGGTCTTCTCTTCATGAGAAGCGGGACTAATCTTAAGGGCAGTCTTACGATTCGATACTGACGGAGACTTAATAAACACAATATTATAATGTTTCCTTGCAGGACCTAACGTAACGTGCTTCTCCTGATACCCTTCGTCCGCGTCCTCGGGAGCCGCATGGACGAAAAATTGTTTGGTGATAACAGTGGATGGTTGCTGTAGTTGTGGATATTGGCGATTAAAGCCGTAATGTCGATTGGCGAAGTTCTGAGCGCCAAGAACACCGTTAATATGCCAATTATTGTTTAAAGACGAGCCGTCGCTACGCTCTAACTCGTCTTTTCGATTATTGTCATTGTAGTTGTCGAAGGTAGCTGAGACAATCGCAATTAAACATAAAACCTAAAAGTTACGTTTTAGCGAAAATTGTTTACTTTCCCATAATAAGACTCACGACTATTGCCTCCATTTGGGGAACTTTTCTTTAAACGATTTCAGTATTCAGCGACTTCTTTTTCTTGTTACTCATTCAGCTTTATCTCTAAAACTGTTACTCGATATCGAATTCATGCAATTTTTATAGTAAAATAATGCGGCCATCATTAATAGAAGGTGAAGATTGATTTCTCATTTTTCCATCTTTTCGAAAATACATACACATACAGACTCGATCGGGCATACATACTACATATATCCACTAATCCACAATTAAAACTTTGCTAAAATGTAACAATAAAAATCCACACGAATATTTTTGACTCTAGTGACCGTAAACGTCGATTTCTTATTATTTCTTTAACGCGTTGCTCCCAAAACGCAGCTAGAGAAGATGTCGTAACATTTATTTAATTATAGGGTCATTATCGATTGTCGAATGTGAAGAGAGTAAAAGTACAACATCAAGCATAACATCAAACACTTATGAAAGAGACATGCAATCTATTTTTGTAACTCTTACGGAAGTGTTAAAAAGAAATTAAAATTAATCGTAGGGTTTCCTTTAGCGGCCAGAACTCTTCGTGTATCGTGTAACTGTTGAACAGCAAAGCCGCTCAACTCTAGAGCAGACATATATCACGGATCGAACATGAGATATTCCCGCAAAACCCGATCAATATTTACAGTTTAACAGACTGCAAAGGCCTAGAATGTGGCTAAGGTGGAAGGAATGGGTTTAACAACGCACCCATGCACACTGTGTAGCTCTACCGCAATTAAAAGAGTGGCAGCTCGGATTACAAGGAAGTCTTCTAAAACTTCAGACGAAAAAAAACTTTGTTACACAAAATCACTTCCTTTCACAAATAGTTCGAAAAGCAAACATTTTGCCGGCGCCACCTTAGCTAAATCTACATGAAATTGATTGCTGCGGATACCGCCACCGCAAACGGAAAATATGTATTTTCGGAAATCTTTGTATTACATTCTTTTGATAGTAACCTCTCCGGGAATTTTTCGTGGTCGGGGATATTTATGGTCTGGGATGTATTTCATGGTCGAGGAGACTTTTCAACGTCATGATGACATCTATAGTTTACACTTTTATTTAACGATGAAAACTTGGAAATTATTAAAAAGCTTTACATTCCATCCACTCAAGTTTTCACAAAGTTTTAATAAACTTTAGGTGTCCGTATCCGCTTGAATGCTTACAAAAATTCAAGTCTATTCGAAATTTGATGAAAGTTTCTCTTTCAGAAGCTTTTAACGGGCTTTTAATTGAATAAATGATTGCCAAGTATCATGCGATTTACCTTTCTTATAAACTTATAATTAAATAAAGTAAATAAATTAAAAGTGCGTGATATTGCATTAACACTGAAGCGAAATCATGGCCAAAATATTTGGCAGCTAAAGTCAAATCATTGCGAACTGTTCAATATAAATTCCAGAGAAGATCAAAGTAAAGAATGATTGACTTATTATAATAGCGAAAGTTCGTGTATTATATATTTTCAATAATGCATAGAGTCACGTAATCAAAAGTGCAAACCACATGCGTTTTTTATAGATCGACGAGAATCCTCGCAAGTTACAAAATGACAAAGCTCATGGAGCCCTTAACTATGCGTGGTGTAGTCATAATGAACTGAATGGGAAAATGGACAATTTCGCTGCAATACAAACAAGAATTCTTCTATCGTGACTTTTACGAGAATACAAAATTAGTGTCTTTTTTTTTTGACGCACCATAGCTAATGCCAAAAGTATATAAGAGATTTTTCACTCCGATCGAAAACGCATTAAATGAATCAACTGATGCTGAACGGTCTAGCCCACGAATTATGCGGTTACTTTGTTCAAGAGAGCGGTCTTGTGCTTGTTATCGTTGCTTCTCTTATTTTCATTTCTTAGTGATCTCATAACAGTGTCCACTTTTGTGGCAATTGATGGAAAAGACGACAACATTTTCAGAGTCTTGCCCTTTTTTATTTATACCACACTTAGTGATAGACCCAGTCCAGGTGGCTAGTGTTAGTAATGGCGGTAAATGTTTTACGAGTGGAAAATTTATTATACGAATAAAAATATCGGATCGGGACTCTTTTAAGAGTTACAAATTACATATGCACACCCGCCCCTGTCCAAGTGCACCATTACTTGTTTAACGCGAAATATGTTCCTTTTTTACATCGCACCATTTTCAACTGTTACATTTTTCTCGTGTTATGTTAGTTGCATTTTGAAAACTCTTTTACTTGCTTATTGAGCATACCTTTTTTGTGATTAATAAGCAATGTAAATCTTTTAATTGTTCGCGCAGTAATAAAATCATTCGGAGTGATTAAATATCAAACAAAGGCAAAGCATAAAAAGCCGCAAACTTGGCATCGTGCAGTAGTGAAATTTTGGCATTCCATTGTACGTTTAATCATAACGATAAAATCAAAAAAAATGATGGATGGTATGGCTTTAAACACACATGTATGTAAGTATTTTATTCATTTCTCAAATGGTGCAACCATTAAGCTATTTTTGTACTAGAAGAAAAGCACTTCACTGTCCAAAGCGAATCGTCAGGGTTTACATTCTCCACCGAGCAATAGTTCATCCACTCCGCAACGTTGTATGCGATAATTAATTTCGTGGTAATTAATCGTTCCCCCAAACACTTTTTGCAAACGATTCGATAACATCCATACCTCCTCTTTACCGGCTGGATTACGTCTGACTTTCAGACCGGCGACAAATTGTAGAGTTTGAGGATTCTCTGCCCATACTATTCTGTTTGGGGGTGCATAAGGTGTGCGTATATTCCAGCCAACAATGGCAATGGGATTGATAAAGCCACATAACAAAAAACCATGCGATGTCATAGCCGAAGCGGCACACTGCACACCACGTTTTCCTACTAATATAAATTCTTGAATCGATGAAGCCACCCCGTCATGCCAAAGGGTGTCATTGTTTACCACGTCCAGTGGAACGGCAATCTGCGCATCGTTGGATAAGGAATGAAAGAATAGCATTCTTCTTAAGCCAAGGCCATGTGGTGTGGCCGTTAAACCGAAAACTCCATCAGTTAACTCAAAACTTTCCCCTGCTAAATTAATCGTGCCAAAGTCTAGATCGGGTATAGTGTATTTGTTTTCAATACGCCACGACTTGTCCCTTTGAACGTCGTAAACAACCAAACCATAGCCAAGCGCATCAGCCATATAAACAAAAGCTTGCTTACATTGACCGAAAGGCGGATTGTCAGCGATGTCCACAAACGGGGTAACAAAGCGGCTTGTGCTTATGCGAAACACATCCTCGGGTAAACGATAACGATGAACTAATTTCCCCGTAGGCAAATCCAAAACCACTATTTGAGGCGCACAGTGTTGCACAAAATTGATTTCACCGCTATCCAAAACCCACATACGATTGCATGAATCTATCTGAAAAGAACTGGACTAAATCAATTAAAAAGATCTCCCAAGTCGAAGGACTTAAAAGGCGTATATAAGTTTTCATATATATATATATATATGTGTGTGTGTGTGTGAGTATGTATGTGATTTTTATGCTTGTTTATTGAATAAATGATGTAAATGGGCTATCTAAAGTGATGTTCTTCTGATTGGTTGCTCAAAGACTACACTCGATCTAAATAAAAGGAAGCCTAAGAGTCTACAACTTAGCATATGCGTGTGTCACAAATTATGAAAGCATCACTAATCTATTTAGTTGAACGGCTAATTGCAAAATGAAAGCGTCGTTAACCGTCTTGAGACAACATATTCACATACGCACACCTTAGAGCCCTGGAAAGGACACAGGACAATTGGGCTCACAGACTACTCTATAGCTAATCCTTTCTGCATTCTACGTAAGCATCGCAATTACAAAATATAATAATAATCATATCCTTCGCATGATAAGTTAATAACAATAAAAATAGAAATGATCAGACGGGTAATAATAACTATGTTAGTACTACGATCATAAAACGAAGGCATAGACAATGATAGCAACAAACAAAAACACAAATGTATATCAAGTGCACTCACTAGCACTCTTACACACATTTGCGTTTAGCAAAAGCATTGCCCAAAATGCAATAATTAAATAATTTTACAATGATTGCAGCTAAATAAGTTCAAAGGCATTCTATACTTAGATTAAAAAAATTAGCAAACAATAATCGCTAATTAAGGTGGAAATAGAACATTTGGTTTAATACATAACAATAATCACCTAATCCGGATTGTATAATACTTGTTAGATGAAAAGATTCGAATATTAAAAAAAAAAAAACAGTTTAAAACAAGTTAAGTCACCTGTATACGATACACTGAGGTAATACCGTTGCAATCCTGTCCGTGCGAATTGTGCCAGTAATAGTTCGGAAAGGCGACGAATTCGGTCCCATTAGGTCGTATTACATTTGTTAACAAGGCCAACGAGTATGGCACACCACTGCCAAATCGTGGCATAGTCACAAAAACATATGGCTCAGCGAATTCATCTGAAGAATTTAATCCAAAAGACAATTATTTACTAAAATCAATGTGACGGTCATGTCTTAATCTAAAATGATTACTTGGAAAATAGACGTCCACGTCGATCGGTACAGGAACGTCGGGATTGTATTTACCGGTAGCTAAAGCGGACAATCGCTCTTCTTCTGAGGGGAACGCAAACTCGACATTGCACGCCTCATAAACTGGCACGAGATTTTTATACGGCGGCCGATGAAAAATTCTTTCCAAGGCAGGCTCGTTTTCCAATACGTCCACTTGTTGTGAAAAAGTAGAAGTTAAAGTCGTACCACAAACCAGCAGCACTCGAAAGGCTATGACTATGTATAACAACATCTTGGCAACGAGTAAAACCATAAAATCAAATCTGATAATTTTTTTTTTTTGTTTTTAAATTGTGTGTTCGTCTCTTTCTCTTAATTAACCGTTTTTGCTGCTTTCTTTTCTTTCAAACTTTAAATCATAAACGAAGGAATTTCTAAAATAATCTTTGCTTTTCAAAACTTTTTTTCCCCATTATTTAATGAAGCGGTTTGCGCTCAAGAGAGTTTGAAGTTTTGAAACTCACTTTGATTAATGCACTTAGAGTCGTTTATTTATGTTATTATATATAGAAATGCGATCGCCTTTTAAAAATGCATCGACGAGGAAATGTCACTCTTTTTAATTTTTCTTCAATTAATTAATGTTTAATTAACGTGCTCAAGACCTAATTATGGCCTCACAACGGTTTCATTAATAAATGTTTCTCAACTGCCAAACGAAAAATAACTGAATGCAGCAACTTAAACAGTTTAATTCGTGCCTGCTATTTTTTAATGAATTTAAAGAAACCGTCGCGATGACGTTTAAGCATATAGCACATATTATTATAGATATTGGTGTTGTTATCGCTATTGCTGTTGCTTTCGCTTTCTCGCATTCATGTACCTGTCTTCGCATTGTTCTTCCCTAACAGGTTTGCATTTTCTCTGAACATTTTATATTCATTCTTCCTTTTCTTTCAATGTTAGCATATAATTTAGTCAAAATTATTTTCGAATAATTTAATTTAAATTAGATATGATCTACTTGTTTAGTATTGAGACGACAGCAGCCAAGTTTTGTATAATCATTTTTTGTTTTTAAGTGTGCGCGTAAAATATGCAAGAAAATGTTTCACGCATGGCAGATTTGTCCAACATACTGCACGCGGCTACAAGACACTAAGCGCCGTAAGCAATTATTACGCAAAACGATAGAATTAAAGTAAAATAACTGAGAAATAACATTGCATTTGGATCAATGACTCTTTACATCCTGAGTAAAGGAGGCATTAACATGTATTGCTGTCTATAAATCTGGAAGAATCGAAAACTTATAAACTGTAACGTGAAAATATTGGACAAACCGGATGACAATGTTTGACATAATCTTCGTTTGAATAAAAAGTTAAAGTTTTTACATCTGTGTCCGTATTGATCTAAGGTAGTAGATAAACTAACTCAATTATATCGTTTGAACCGATCGTATATGAGAGATCTAAGAGAATATACATATACTTTTGAATAAATTCCTATTCAAAACTGTGTCCGTCTATTCGTTCATCAATTTTCGGTTTCTTTTACCAGTCTGCTCCTCCTTTAAATACTAGAAGTATCATCAGCCGCTCGTACGCTAAATACAATCGACCTAACAAACAACTGTGAAGTTTTTTAATCGAGATCCGTTCTAAGCCAAACACATCGAGTTATGGGCTTCTACTTCGTTTAGAAATAAGATATTTCATATTACTTTAGATCTACCTTTCTACGGCAGCTACGACGTATTGTGTTTATACCGCATATAAGATTGATTTCAAATAAACTTTTATATATGCAGCCGTAAAGATCTACTTAAATGCGTAGCAAAGCAAAAAACAGGTAAGCAAATAATATTTGGCTATGGTCGACTATTTTTTAAAAGAAGTATAAGAAAAAAGGTGAAATCTTAACATTGGGTGGATGTGGCCGATTACTTTTTCATTCTTGCACCCATACTGTAGCGCATTAGTGAAAGATAGCTTATGAGTAATGAGCGATGCTTTTGAAAACAGAGGTGCAACGCCATCCCGCGCGCATGAGAACTTACAATGTTTATGACAAACCTGAAACTGCCTCTGCCTCACCTCTGCGGCGAAGAGACTATCATTTAATGCACAGATAGACAGACGAACTGCTGCACTAATAGACGAATGTACATAAATGGATTCAAAATGTAATAACGCTTCAGAATTAATATACTTTACAAGGTCCTTCAAATTTGCTGGTGGATGTTACAAACGTTCTGACAAAATGAATATGCTCCCATCCGCCTATGTTGGGTATAGGAAATGTTAAATAGAATGTGGATATCTCATAGGGTATTACACGACAAGCCAAGTTTCACATACGCGATTGCTTGCTACGAGTTAAGTTAACAGTTTCAGTACAATGACTCGCTGAGCAAGGTCATGGCTTCTGATTTTCGCTTTTGTCTGCTCTTTTCTCTCTTGCTGCTAAAGTTATTCGTCTTAAAATCAGATTCCTGTTGCGTTTTATTTCACATTTTTTTTCCAAACATTTTTTTTTTTTAATGGTTTTTGTGTTCAGTTCTATATAATGATTTAACGACTGCTCGTTATGATGCACAGGTAAAGCAATGAGAATATCATCTTATCACAATCTTATCTGCTCGAAAGTTCACTTTGTGCAGGTAGTTATTTTTGCATAATTTCATATACATTTTTGTACAATAATATTTTTGTATAATTTCATATTGGTTTTAAGGCAAAATTTAAAGTAAAGCGAAATAAATCCAATATCAGTTAAGCAACAACTGATTATTTTAAAAAATTTGATAAAAAATCAACAATCATTCGAGATTCTATGCTCTATGCGAAAAGACAATCGATCGAATAACTTGAATGCATTTACGAGCAAACTATTTAAAATAGTAATAAGAGTCTTGAAGAAATTTGTTAATCCAACAGAAAGGTCATCATTTTATTTATAAATATAATTAAAAATAATTTTTATGCATGAAGTCATTAAAGAATATTCATTTAAACTATCTATCCAAACGTCGTTTCAATATGCGGTAATTCACTTCATTGCTGTTCACAGTGCCGCTTGATAATCTCTGTAAATAGTTTTGCAAACAACGAAAACGTAAAACTCTCTTCATTACAAGCCTCTGACCGCAGTTTAGCAAAATCAAATTTCATTTACCTGAAAACGGTTAGATAACATCCACAATTCGTCGTTATCTTCTTTATTTTTAATAACTTTCAAGCCGCCTACAAACTCAAGATGTTCTCTCCTTATCGCTAATTTTTCTATCAGATTCTTTTTAATATCCCATGCTAGCAACTCAATCGGATTGAATGTCACGCAATACCAGATGCCTTTGCTGTCAATAGCCGACGGGACGCAAGGACTACTACGTTTGGCAATGGGCTTAAATTCATCCCCTGCGGCTTCTTTATTTCCAGCGAACAATGTGCTGTTATTGATAATTTGTAAAGGGACAGCGTATTCGGTTATACTGGCCATTGGATGGAAATATAAATACTGCTCGTCAAAGCTTAAGCCAATAATTCCATCCATTAGATTAAAGGGTTGGCCGGCCACAGTATGCGTACCAAAATCCGGATCCGGATACATAAATTTATTTTCCACTCGCCATGCTGCATCCTTTCCGTAATCATAGACCACCAAGCCATGATGATCGGTATCGGCTACATATAAGGTGGCATCCTGGCAATTGCCAGCTGGTGGAGGATCGTGTACTTGCACCACATTGGTCACAAACAAAGATGCAGAAGCTGTGAACAATGAATTGTTAAAACGAAAGCGGTGAACTAATTCATCGTTTCTCAGATCGAATAACAATAGCTGCGGTGGACATTTAAACTCGTCCGCCGCCATGCCGGAATCAAGAACCCACAATTGTTCGCATTCAGTTATCTGAGAAAAAATAAAGTACACAATAGCAGCAATGGAAGATTTTGAATTATAGTCAACCTACGGCTGTCCTAAATGCCGAACTTATTTTATCACAATCCCATTTATCGTCACCGCGATTGTGCCATTCATAGCTTGGATATGCCTCGATACTAGAATTGTCACGAATCGAGGCTAAAGTGTAGGGCACACCCATGCCGAATCGAGGTGTGGTAACAAACACTTTTAAATCTCCAGCCTCTAAAATAATAATTTAGTTGTCATGCCTGTGAAGTCTTTCCTTATGTCACAAACTGATTACGTACGGTTGTAATAGGGCTGTACATCTACCGGTACCCCACTGCCTGGGATAAAAGTTTGATCACCCAAAGCGGTTTGTAACGCATTTTCGTTCGGGAAAACATAATCCAACTGATTCCATTGATATAACACTTCGGGAAATTGTTGTTGATAATGCGGAATATTTTTATAACGTGCTGATGACGCGCTTACATAACACACAATTAATGTTTCAATAATGAATAACAGTTTCATGACCATAACCTTTTCGTTTTAAATAAAATATCTGTAAAGAAATATTTTTGTGCCCGATATTGTGGGTCGTTGATCTTCGCAAATATTGACAACTTATTTATTTATAAAAAGGATAAGGAAAACGTTGTTCGTACTTAATCGATATGGCTCCACTCGTTACAGCGAGCGAGCGAGTTCACAATCCACATCGACCGATTCTACTTCACTATTCAAAAGCCGGTCCTTGGTCTTATCAATTCCCAATTTTTTGGGAACGTTCTTTAACTAGATTTCCCATAAGTGGAACCTATCATCGTTGTTGCTCAACTGAATGTTCAAAGGAAAAATGTTACGTACATTTAGCATCTATGAAAATTCAAAAAAAATTCATATAAACTAGAGTTTACGAACTCAAGGAGATTTTGGACTTTCAAATCTATGGACCCGCAAGACTTTCTAAATTCCCTTGAAACACTTTTCTCTTGATAACTTTTTGAGAGCACTGAAGCAAGAGCTAATCAACATAAGTCATCTCAACACATCTTTTTTTTCTTTAATTTTTAACAATTCACTCGTCACGATCTACAAAGTAAAAATAGAACGGGTTCCAGTTAGTTGGCTATTATAAATGAATCTCTGGACGAGTCAAGTGACTTGGGCGATTAGACTTTTGAATGTAAGTTTGTATTTGTCACAGTTGTGTTTTCTATCTCAGTTTGAGACGAGTTGAGAATTATAGGACGGGCAACGCTGGTCCCCAGCCAAACTCCTTCGCTGATCGAGAATATTCGCTTTGCTCCGATGATGGGTAAGAAAATGGGAAACGAAGAAAATTGCAACGTATGACAATGATGAGCACCTTCACAACTTCAAAACTCATAAGTGGATTTTTACAAACGCACATTCGTAAGATGATATTCCTGTCTTACCGGATAAATCGCGTAGAAATTCTTTCTTTTAGAAAAATATTAAAAAAATATTAATTATAATTTTGTTTTTTTTTTTTAAATTTTTTAATCTTTATTTTGTCCGTAGTTTCGTTTTATTCGTTCGAAATTTTGTGTTATTATTAAACGAGATTATTTGCTTCTTTTTCAATTTCTTTTCAATTAATTCATTCTCGCTTGGCTTTTAATCGAACACTAACATCGATTTGAATTTCTGAATCACTATATATAATCATTATTTGAACATCTTCTTATTATTATTTTGCTCCTTTCAACGTTTTCGATATAAAAATGTGTACGTAGTTTGACCATACGCTTCACTTCAATAAGAATACCTTTCTCTGATCTTGTGGTGACCAATAAAAAAACAAAAAAATTAATGTATATTTATTGCTGTAGTATCCTAAAGCAAAAGATGCGAAAGTATTGTACAATAGCAACAGGGTGTGCTTCCTTGCGCTGCAAATTAAGGCAAACGAATAAACGAATCGATGTGCGACACCTTAAATACAAAACTTTACAATCCCATCCCAGCTCATTATTGGTACTAAGTAAACAGTAAATTGAAAAGAAAACAATTATCATAAAATAGTGTAGTTTATTTTACAGGAAAATAACAACAACCATTCCTCTTATTAATGTTCTCTCGTTTTAAAAACACTACAAATGCAATAATAAAAAAAGCTTTAAAAATTATTATATGAATAATTACCGGAGGGTGGAGTACACTTAAGTTGTCGTTTTGCTCGTTGCAATCAGACATGATTTTCAACACAATTATGTTAATTATGCCTGTGTAATTATGGGCATATCAATCTGCCAAAGGGTCTCACTGTCACATCACACTAGATCGTCTAGTGTCATTGAAAATCTATATTAAATTCTTCAGTTACTGGATAAAGGACTAGAGGATAATATTTTCGAGCTTTCACACTAGTACTGAAACAAATAAATTTTACTATTTTTTCCCTTCCGTAATTCACTTGATTTGACCTCGAAGCTAAGCCGACCGTAGCATCATTGTCAAGAATCATTAAATAAATTCGAGCCAATGTGGGAACGTCGGGCCGAATCGGCACTTTCTAGTATGTCTATAGAGGAGAGGGGAGTACAACGGTTGTGCAAGTAAAAACCAAGCAAGTCATTAAAGTTCCACAAGCACTGACGACTATTAAAAGTCATCTTTTCCAAGAGTAGTTGAAAAAGTACCCACATGTACAGTTTTATGTTTTTAAATCGTGATGAACTCTTATTATTATTCATAAAATTCCAACGAATTTCAACGAATTTATAGTAATTTTAAATATATATGTTCTCAATTTGTTTGTTTAATCTTTCAAATGGCTTATGAATTAATCATAAAATTATCAATTAGGAATTTTAGGAAATCGTCACTTGTCAATGCTAGGTAGTTAATCAAACAGACTAACTATTAGGAATTGCATAAATTTTATTTACAATTATTCCCGCTCAAAGTTCGCTTTTCTTTCTCTCTCTCTCTCTCTCTCCCTCGAAACATTGCTGTCGTCATTTCAAGGGGCAATTATAAACACCTAAACATTTCACCTTATCAGTAATGCGCCTAGGTTCGGGAAACGGGTGTGTATTTGGTGTGTGGTTTGGTTTTTCCTAATAGCACTTGCGAAACAAATTCAAATTTTAAGTCAAAGCTACTTAATTATGACTCTATTCAACTGAAAGTGTTTTGAAAAGGGACTGCTCATCCATAAATAAATGATAAGTTCGCCGTTTGCCGCATTCGATGTTAATCTATTTTCACGTTTGATCAGTGAATTCCAACTTGGAGACATTGCTAAGAAAATATAAAGTCATTTAGTGTTTACGAGATCCACTTTCACCAAACTCTGATTAAAATTTCGCATGCGGGCATTAATATTACTTTTAAAATACCTTAATTAAAATAACAAAATTAATTAAAATTATTGTCACAACGAACAAAATTTATGAACTTTTAGATTGTGATTATCAGATAATTAATTAATTATCGGATAATTAATCTGATGAATATTTGAATCTGAATGCTGTAACTGAAAACGTGCTGAAAAGAACTTAATGTAATAACATCTGAGTTGTCACATGCACACCGAGACGCACACATCTAAGTTGGAGAGTTGCAGCTCTATTGATCTTTCACGTCAAACGTGTTTAAGACAAATCCATGTGCGTAAAACCGAAAGGTGTTCTCTGAATTAATCATATAGCTCTGTGCCCAGTTATGATTTAATTTGGAAAATCCTTAATAGGAGAGAAGATCGACGTCGATATGATATCGTTACGGAAAATCCAACTTCTAAAGCATAAAAAAAAGAAAAGAAGACGCTTAGGACTGAAACTATTGTTTGAATTATTCTTCCAATAACACTGAGCCAACTTTTATGCTCTCAATGTTAACTTTTCTCGCTTTGTATGTATGAAAAAACGCAATTTATTCTTTTTACAGTTAAACTTGAGCTTTCTTAAGTTTTAAGCAAACGCCAAATAATATACAACTGTTTTTGAAGATTTATTAACACAATTTATACCGATTGTCTACTAATTTTCTACACTTCGTTCTTCTGCGCGGGTTAACAGAAGTCATAAAGTAACGGCTAATTGAAAGACTCTTTGAAAAATATATTTTATTTATTTCATTAATAAAACAACTTGGGTAAAAGAAAAAAGAATCAATGGCGAAGAATTTTTTTTAGGGTCTGTGGTAATAATAACCATTCGAATGGCCCAAGGAGACAATGGGCACACTGGAAGTGGTTGGTATACTTGGCGGTGCACCTAAATCGTCTAACCAAGAGTAACTGGTTTTGCTTCTTTGCTCTTTGCTGGGCGGAAACGATTCACCCTGGTTAAGGTTATTAAAAGGATTTTTAACGTTATAGTTGACGATGCCGCTGCTTTCAAATCTGTAAGGATGCTTGCTAACGCTGATAGGACGTGTAAAATAATTTTGCACCGGACTTATGCTAGCTATACGCCCGGACGACTTATGCGGAAAATCATTTGAGATCTGATAATAAAAGTTCAAGTCCGGAGTGTCCAGCGACTTTATAGGGTAAGCCGGCAGCACAGAATCCAATTTTTCTGAACCCGGCAGTGGTATTCTCAAAATGCGATTGTTCACTTCGGCCGTATTTAGAGTTTTCAAAAAGAAACGATGAAACTTTGACGAGAGCACATACACATAACCGGGATCATCAACTGAAACAAACATATCGCCGACAAATTGTATAGCTTGCTGATCCTGCGCCAAGATGTGTTGTTCGTTGGTCGAAGGATTCCACGAAGCAACAGCCGTTTCTGTCACCGGACTGAAAATTAAACTTCGGTCTAATGGCGATAGAGCCAAACCTATGCCTTGCGAAGACTTTTTACCCAATAATTTAACTGGCAATACTTTATTAATAGGTATGGGGCCAGCCCGTAAGACCTCACGCGTAATAGCAAAAACTCTAAAATAAAGGGAAATTAGAATTTCTGTTGTCGAAATAATTTTATACCGACTGTTTACCTATCTGTCGCGAAAGGTTGAAAATAAAGGACTGCTTTCTTGTCATCGTATGTCATACCCACTATTCCATCCATTAAAACGAATCGATCACCGAGGATTTCAGCTTGACTGAAATCCGGATCGGGATACATAGCTGGATGTGCCAGACGCCATGTGGTATCATGTTCACTATCGTAAACGATGATGCCTACGCAAAAATGAATAAATTATGCAAAATATGAAAATGAAATTTTCAACTCCAATACAAACAAATCGAATTTTCTCTTTCCCCTAGGCTAGGAAAGGCTTATTTAAATTCAACAGCAGTAGTAAACTGTTGGTATAAAATTTAGTGTAAAAAAACATAACAAACACATCCTTATGCATGATGCATAAAAATCGAATTGAAACATCATACATGCAAAGCAATGGCAATTACCTTCCCTCGTCAACGCATTAATTTCGCTTACCAGGCTCAACAGTATCTGAAATATAGGCGTAGACGTCATCACAAGTACCGGACTTCGAAGTGGTCTCATCAATAACCAGGTTAGTGAATAATGTTTCGCCTCTCAAAATACCACTTGGAAAATCGACGCGTCTCACCACTTGATCGGTGTTGAGATCAACCACTAAAATTTTAGGAGGACACGTCTTCTCATAATCTTCCAGGGAGCGCGAAATGCCGGCATCTAAGATCCATAAACGATTACAGGAGTCAATGCGCAAGCGATAGGATGAGACCAAGACCATGTCACTGCAATTGAAATCGGTACGTCCTGTTGTGGAAAATGACCAATCGGGATAGGCCTTAAAGTGATTCAAAAACACATAACAGAGAAAAAAGACGAGAGAATTGTCAGTTTAAGGCGATCAATGCGTCTTCGGTTCTTCTTTACCTGCAGTACAGGGGAATCGCCGAAATCTTTTCTAGACATCCAGCTAACTGTAGACGGCACACCCGAAAATAATTTGGGCGTTGATAAAAATATCCGGTCTCGTGTTACAGCCAAACCGGTACCCAATATATTTGATGGATTATAGAAATTTGCGTCGTGTACCGGAGCTTGAGGTAGGAAATTATATGTAAATGTTTTCCATTGTTTGGCGATTTGAAAACCATTCGAATACTGTGATTGCTGGAAGGTAGCGGTGCTCAAGTTCAATAGCGAAAGCAAAGCTATCAAACCCGAAACGAATGAGTTTGGTAAAGCGCCCCGACAAGTATTACCATGCTTGATGGTTACGAACGTATGTAATGCAGACATCTTATGCCAGACAAAAAATTTTAACATTCACGCTAAAAATAAGAGCTGAAATTAATGAACAAAGATTTTTTACACCTTTTTTTCATTGTTCCTTAGTTTTCTATTTTCATTTTTAATCATTCTTTACTTATTAACCGATAACGAGAAAATACAACAGAACACTGAAAGATATTGAAATAAATCTTATATGGCGTCCTCTGCCGTCTATTTCGTTAGACAAAGGATGCTGTTGCAAGTGTAGCCTCATTCTTGCATTCTTTTATTTTCAGACTGCTTTCCGTGCTAGTGCACCATGCCACGGGTACCTGTGGCTAATGCTGTCACCATTGATATACTGCAGATTGATGCTTGCCAAGATCCTTCGTCAGGAGACTTGCATATTTACGTGCAGGTAGAAACCGCGGTGGAAGCTAGTACGTCCAGACTCCAGCTCGAACGCTGCTGCTTCGGCGGGTAGCGTCTATCATTCTTATAGCGAATAGTTACAGGTAATGGTAGCCCTCAACACTGCCCAGAGTAGGTTTATTTCATGGGTACACAATAAACATATCTGGTTTCTCCAGTGTAGGTTAGGCCTCTAGCTTATAGGGGTTGTCTAACCCTCTGGAGGGAACCGATTACGTAAAATTAATCCGTGTGTCATCGGATACCGTGGTGTTAAACCTTTAAGGTAGTGCACCCACGTTAAACCTTCAAAGACATCTGTGCTTTCGCAATGCCGACAGCACTAAGTTTCTTTTGACGATGTATGGAATTAATGAATCTGTTCCGATATTTATATAAGCCTTCTTGCAATTAGAAAAGATGCGCCATTATTTAAATGAGACAATATTGGCTTGAGAGTGAGGCGTTCATCCGTTCGTCCAATCAATGAGTCCTGTTTCACTCATTTTTCCTTTTTACAAAAGCCTCCTGCAGTTTATGCATTATGTGACGTTAAGTCAAAACACGAAAACTTATTAAATTCACATCATTCATAAATTTGTACGCAAATATATTAATTTTCGTACTTGTCATTCGGCTATTAGTCTTACCGGTCGTGTACTTTTTAGTAATTTTTTAAATAAAACACAAGATAAAAACAACAATAGCTAAAGCGTTGTGCATGATATTTTTGCATGTTATTTTATTACTGCTACTCTACGCTAAACGAATCACTTGCCTCTTGCTATTTGCTTTCCTGTTCGCTTTTAACGACACTCGCTTAACGACACTTTATTTACATTTGTGGCAGCGAGTTTTTCACATCCACCTTACGAAGTGTATTAGATTTGTCAAACGATTGTAACGCATAGAAATACTTATGTTTATATGTCTATATATATACATATATAATATGTATTCCCGAGCAATCGTGTATGCCCGACTGTCTGTCTGTCGTGTGCGAAATCACGTTACGAAAGCACACTTGGTTTTAAATGCAGGAGGACACGATGCGTCCAATGGAAACATTTTTGCTGAAGTTTACATCAGCTCGCGGTAAAGATTAGTAAATTCGGTTCAAGTCGAATATAACTTCTTTCTTGTTTCATTTCATTAAACGTGGCTTTGAGAATGTCTGCAATGACTTAGTTGACGAAATGAGTTTGTTAATGATTCAACAATAAATGATTTATGCCAACTTGAATCAAAGCATAATTGTATATTAGCGCTGAATGGGGCGCTGAAGTATAATTTCTGTCATAATTAATATTTTTAAAATTCATTAACGCAAATCTTTTCACCACAAAAAACTTTACGATAGCACGTGACGTGTATATCGTGGCTTAACCTTTAATTATAAGCGCTGATCAAGAAATCTTTGATACTTTTTTAATTACCACAATGTGGTTGCAGACAAACGCAACCACTAGTAGGTATTAAAAGCAAAATAATAAAATCACTTAACTGTTCAGGAAACTTGAATAATTCTCGAGAGGCTGCATGTTTTTCATTTCCTTAAGATATTCGCTCTCTATAGCATCACCCTTTTTTAATCACCCTAAATAGGGTAATTTTTAATGAGCTGAAGTAAGTTTCTACATAAGCTGTTTAAAAAAGAGAAAATTACCAAATTTTACTCGAAGACAAGTTCTCGCTTACTGATACTGACATGCAGTGATAGGCAAGTCATTTCCGTTGTATCTTCAATCCCAAGTAATTAATATTTTATTGCTTGAGGAAAAAGGAGAGTTCCTTAAGTTCCTTCCACATTGTCTCTTGTAGCAATTTCCATGATGACATTGATGATTTAGTGGAAAAATGTAGTTTTAATGGGCATTGTAGCGCAGCATATCCGGGTCGTTCATGGCTAGCGACTAGAACCACTTTAATGCGAGATCTGACTTTAGAGGGACCTTGCACATTTGAGGTTTTTTAAGGCGTGCCTGACGTTCAATCCTTATTACTTTCAAATACTTTTCTCTCAGTCCATACTATACCAGGTTACATCATAACCAATTTATTTATGTTTACTACTTTTTGAGGAAAGTTTTCAGTTTCCTGAATTAAATTTTTGCTGAAAACATTGTTGTCATAACATAAGTACTTGCATGTATAATCGTATGCCTTTTATTTGAAAAAAAAAAATAAATAAATAAATAAAAATATTAATAATAAAAATAAAAATTAAAACCTCCAAAATGTTTTTCACATTTAATTCCAGCGCTCACGTGTTGTGTTGCGAAGCATAAAAAGCACATAAAGCTTGTTAAGTTATGTAAGATAAATGCCGGTAATAGAAAAAACAAAAAATTTTTTGTATTTTCTTGCACGCATTGAATTCGGCTAAGCTGGTTAACGTGCACATGTAAATGTCGTTCAGGTGGAAAATCATTTATAAAGCGATACCGTAGACATACCTTAAATACATACGATCGCTGGCAAGATACTTGAGCTATAAACTGTACAATGAATAATGAAAGGCCTAAGAAAATGTGTTTTCGGTTAATAGATGCAAGTAACCAATGTTTACTTTTGCTTCTGCAGGAGACAATTCAAAGGCCAACCAATTGAGTGCACCTTCTTTACACACACATATATATGCGGCTAAATAAACAAGTTACACTTTTTTATTTGTATTTATTTATTTATTTATTTTTTTTTTTTTTTCTTTGATATAAACACATATATATTCACAATATTGTGCTTGTTCGCCTTTACGTTAAAAAGAATTGCAAGACGAAAATGTGAATGAGAACAAAACACGATGGTGAACAAATTTTTCAATTTCCATACAAAATAAAACGTGCAGCGGTGCATATTATATTTGAACGCGAATTACTTGGAAACGCTTTCTGGGAACAAAGGAGCTAATGCAAGAATGTTGGCAACAAACTTTTTGCTCGTAGATCCCAATGTAGTTCAAGCGGTAAAAACGAAAACCTCAGGTGGAAAACTGCTTTCAAATCGGTTTAATCGTAATACATGACATGTTGTTGTCTGAACTAATCACGCAATTATCTATGAAAGCAACTTTGTTTTTGCAATTTTTGATCCATTGATTGTCGCCAACTTTAAAATAATTTTAAATTAACAGATATATGTACAGCTGGACTAATGAATCCATAAAGGAGAGGGCAAGTTCATAACGGAAGCAAAAATAATCTGATCTGACTGAATAGACCGAGTAGCCGAGGGGACGAAATTGTCATCATCACCTTGCTAATAAATCCATTGAGACATGAACAGACACGAGACATAAAATGTTAATCCCTCATCGACTAAACATGTCTGCTCTAAGTAAGGCTTAAAATGCAACACGACACGTCCATGGATGTAACAAAATCTTTTCCCTTCGCTTCTTCAACGTCAAGTTGATTTTTTAATTAAATAATCATTTTTTCATTCAATAAATTAAATAAAAAAAAAATGGAGCAAAAGTGACTCTTTAAAGTAAATGTTTCACGTTTTATAAAATGTTGTTAGCCGAAAATATTTTTTTCCTTTTTTCTTTTTAGTGTAACCACAAAAACCACCAGCCATCAGCAAAAATTGAGACAAAAAGCGACTAAGCAACTCTCTTGCAACGGTCAATTGCATGCAGTTCGATAATTCAATAGATATTAAAAAGCATAACACAATAGCTTTGAATTTGCAAATGCTTTATAAGCAAGAAAATACGTTTAAAATAAATTATAAAACAATACGCTCGAATAGCGTATATATGCATGTGCATTTGTATGTATGTATGCATACATCTACCCTCCAACCCCGCTCTTGATAGTTGCGCCGACAACATTGATTCAATAGTGAAACAACAACAAGTTACCAATAATATCGAGTATACAACATATATGCGTTCATATGTGTGTTTGTTCGCCCCAGTTTTACAAGAGTGCTCGATGAAGTCTTTAACTGAAGTTTCAATTTTTTTCTATTTATAATATTATCCGCTTCTACAACGACACGCTAGCAACGTCATTCGTACAGACTACATTCGTCAGAACGTAAAGTATTTGAAATGTATCATTAAATCTATATATAGGGAAAAACCTCTACATATACACAAACCAACAAAAGTAAAGCTCTTTGGTAAGCTGCATTCTAACATATGATATTGACTGCTAGAAGTTTCATTGTGGCCACCACTAATAGTAGGTTTGTCTTCCCTTACCCCGTTACTCTTGTTTGTTGACCAAATTTGTGCATATAAAGCAGTTGCTCCTATTGCTCGATTTCGAAAAGGTTGTCAATAAACATTCACGGAATCGTGTGAACGATTCGCTAACAAAAATGCTTAAAATACGTTTGTTCCCACGTCTTGTCCAAAGCGAAGAGAAAAATTAGTATTTGCCGGCGAAGCCAGCCAGCGTTCCAGTGTTTTTCTAAAGGAAAAGTTAAGCTCATTATCGAGATTTTAAAGGACACAGAGCGCATTCGAATCTATTCCATTATTCATTTTGGCTAAAAATATGTATGGGTGTATATCTTATGGGATATAAATTCCATACTCGACGAATCCCTTGAGCGACAAACTTTTGAAAGATCCACTAAATAAACTAAACTGGGCAGTAAGTGGTTACGGTTTTTATTAAGGGGATGTCGAGTACAGAATTAAGAGCTGAAATATCGTGAATGTAGAGGATAACCACTGTTAACTTTACTTTAATACAATAATTCCATTGTAAAGATAGCTTGATTAAAAGGTTTTCATATTTTTTTAACGACTTGTCCCGAAAAAAATAAAGTTTTTCTCCACAAACGGCAGTTAATCGAGGTCAACCGAAAAAGAAAACTAGCCTTAGCCCCATAAACAATTTCCGCAATCCATGCAAACTAAACATGAATATCGCATACAAGAGTCCGATTAATAGTTAGATTTGAAGTTGACGTATGCAAAGTAGGCGAAGTGCCGCAGATCGTATATTAAGTAATGAAAAAATAAAAACACTGCACATGCACTCAGGATACTTTAGGAGCACTCAGAGTAATAGTACGAAAGCTGCTTAAAAAAGGACCATTCATAAGATAATACCATAACCGCTTTACTGAGCATTCTCGTCCTTCTTTTGCTGTATTTATTGTGTAACTCTGAATACTGGCGGAAATAGGTCACTATTGATAGATTGGATAAAGAAAAAATCCATATGTAAAAGCTGCCAACGACCGGATTACGTTTGCAGATTAACAAAGGACAGATGTTTACTTCGCTCTAGACTATAGAACGACAGTACAAATTGAAGACAATAAAAGAGGAGTGAGTTCAATCTGGAAGGAGTATACTTCTCATTTCATGCCAGCTGTCGTCTCAATCTGGCTTTGAGGAATACATTCACATCAATTTAATAAAATATAAAAATTGTTGGAATGAGATGAGTGAATGAATGAAGTTTGCATAACTCTTAAGCGACTCTACTAAATCTTACATAGCTATCTCAGATAGATGACAGTCCACATGCGCGTCCAGGATGATATAATTTGTTTAGTTAGCTAGTTGAGTAACGCGATAATCATTTTAAAGTTTTTATATCAACTTACTTCAGAGCTGAAGTCATTTGAGTACATGTTTTCTCTCACTGTACATCTTGTTTTCATATATCAGAGATATTTGCATGTATTACTATGCCCATGTCAGCGACAAGACATACATATATAGACTTTGAAGAGTAAAAGTTAAATAAATAAAAATAATACGGTTTTCACAAAGAAAAGAAAAAAGGGTAACAACATTCTCTTATGGACACATTGGGCAAACATGCAATTAATCTGTCGACAAAGTGAAAGTCGATCGAGGGAGTTGTTCAGTCGTCCATGAATAAAACAAATATTTACAAACGCACGTATTAGCTTAGCTACCTATAATTAATTATCCAAAAGAAATTATCTGAAAAATATAAAGCCATAGAAAATCTTATTAGCGCACCTTGACTCTCATTTTAAAAGTCCATTGGAAACGGAGAAGAAGACTTTTAAACATTTCCATGCAATACATACGTACATATGTCACATTTGTATATGTGCGTGTAATCATTACTCACAAAATGTCTGCATTACTACGCAAAAGAATAAATTATTAATTTTTTATTTCATATTTCGTAGAAAAAAAAAAATAATAAAAATTTTTACGTTTTTCTATTAACACCCACTAATCTACACATTTGTGATTTGCAAGAACACTATTACATTGTTGAAAAATAACGTAAAATTCTCACTAACTCTTTATCAAAGTATAACATCACCAAGTCTGCCATGAAACACGTTGCGGTGGCATATTTGCCAAACTCGATTTGAAGTTTGTTTTTCACAATTGTTTGTTCATGATTTTTTCTGCTTTGCTATCTGTTTCTCTTTAAAGTCTTAAATGACCTTTTTTCCTTTTTTATTCTACAACTTTAAATTGTTTTTGGCGATTTTTCAAGTATGCTTTTGTTCCTAACCCAACCCTTACACCATAGACCATAGAGTTTGTCTGAGAAGGCTTACAAACTTCCAAATGTCAGTCAACTGGTTTACTTGGTCTTATAAATTACATAAGGGGCGTGCTATGCTCTCAGTGTTTTTCATGTTTTTTTTTTTTTTTTTTTTTTCTCATTTCGTTTTGTTACTTGAAGCAACATTATCTTCTCAATCTGTAATAATTGTCTAGCAACGGTATATAAAAATCATTATTTATATAATACTGCTGCGAACAGTTCAAAAAATTGTTACAGCTGTTATTGTTAATTATAAAATTTATATAAGTGCTCTATATCGATTGTGTTAGCCTTTTATAACTTAGAATGCATAAATAGTTTATGGCGCTTTCGAAATAAACAAATAAAGCCGGATTTCTTTATTATAGAAACGAGTTACACTCGAGTAGATATCGCTCAATGAATTCACAATGTTTCGTTAAATGAAAATATAATCAGTTTACGGTATTTCTTGCATTTAATATATGCAAATTTACAAATTACGGCTGAATATTCTACTTCTTTAAACCACACTACTTCTACTTCTACTTCTTTACGCCGCCAAATTTCGGGATAGTATCAATATTGTATTCAAAGAAATATTTAATTTTGAACTTAAAGCGACGAAGACTTTTGCATAG